GAAATTCTTTTAACTATATCTAATAATATATTAGTATACTATAACTTAAAAATAACTATTTATAAGATTATAAAAAACTTACCTACTTATTTATACTATTAATATTTACTAAAGCTAGCTTAATATATACTTTATTAAAGATAAAGAAGGTATCTCTAATATAAAAGTTAATAATAAAGTATATAGCTTCTATATATCTATAAAGATTATATTATTATTATTATTATTGTCTTTTTTTTCTTCTTTTCTTCCTTCTTCTTCTTAATAAGGGCTATATAAATATATTACTTATCTAAAGTTATTATAATAAGATTATAATACTTTTATAAACCTATTCTAATATAGACTTAGACTATAATATAAATATGAATATTATAGTGGGGGATCTTATATAGTAAATAATATAAGTTTTTATTATTAGGACCTACCCTCTAGCTTACTTATAATAATAATAATACCTCTTAAAATTAATATTATTAAAGATATAGATATAGTAAGGGTTATATTAAAATATATAAAGATATCTCTAATATTATTTAATATTAGATAATAAATTAACTTACTAAATTTCTTTAGTATTAAGTAAGAGATATTATTATATTATATAAATAGCTACCTCTTCTTTCTTTTATTAAAGGGTATAAATATAATCTTTTTAAGTTATATAATAATAATGAGATATTCCTTTTTTTTTTCTCTTTCTTCTTTTTCTTCTTTTTAATAGTATAAGAATAGTTTTTAATTATTATAATATTATAGTATATAATAATATAATAAAGAATATAAATAGTAGTTATTTTTCTTTTATATTAATAATAAATATTAACTATATTTACTATATAAGGTACTAAACCTATTTAATTCAAATATAATCTCTTAAATTACTTAATCTAAACTAGATTCATTAACTACTTTATATCTTATAGTATAATCCTTTAAGAAGGAATTAAACTAGTATTAAAAGAAAAATACTATAATAAAGACTAATAAGACTTAAAAATAAAGCTAGGAACTTAAATAAAGTAGTTAAAGATATAATATAATCTAAATATATATAATAAAATAAGACTTAAAGCTATACTTATAAAATAAGAAAGACCGATTAAATTAATTAATTAAAGAAAGAGAGAAAGGAAGAAAGCTTTATATAAGATTAAAATCATTTATACCTATAAATTAAATAGACTAAATATTATATAATCTATTATCTATAATATAACTATATTTAATTATTTACTATAATATAATTTAAAATATTAAATAACCTATTTAATATTAGAATAATATAGCTAACTTACTATAACTAATATAATATATAATATAACAGGTTCTTATTTAGCTAATAATATATAAGCTTTATTAATATTATATTAAGAGATATTAAAAATAATCTTAATATTATAAGGCTATAGTCTTCTAAGAGGGAAAGGTAATATTATAACTAATAAATATATAATAATACCCCTAGTAATATCTTATATAATCTACTTAATAATATACTAAGTTAGCCTATTATATATTATATAACTATGCTATAAATATCCTTAATACTAAATATATTATATCATATCTCAGTAATTAGTTTAATATAATCGACTCATATATTCTACCATACTCTCTACACATCTTATAGGATATGTCCTAATAAGATAACCTAAATAAAAAGTTTTAAATACTAGAAGCTATGTATAGTAAATATAATTATTAAGAATAGGAGAGTACTTATTAAAGAGTTATAGCCTAGTATTAATAGAAGGGGCTTTAAGAAGATATCTTTAAGTAATATAAGGCTTATAATCTATATTGAAGGGCTACTAAGGAATAGACTAGGGAAGATATAGGTATCTTTATAGTTTATACCTAGTTTACTGTTATAAAAATAGTACCTTAATATAGTATACCTATTAAAGTATAGGAATAAACCTAATTACCTTATTATTATAAGAGAATCCCTATCTAGATAAGTAGAGGTAGTGTGTCACATAAGTAGAGTTTAAGCCCTAAACCCTAACTCTACTCATGAGTTAAGACTTAAATCCCTACTTAAACTTAACTTATTTAATATACTAAGTAGAGGTATATATATTTAGCTTACTATTATTAGCTAATATAACATAATTTATTTATAAAGATATCTTTACTAGATAGAACTATATTAAGATTACTATCTCTAAAGACTTTAATAATAGACTAGAAATTAAGAAGGTTATGACTACCCTATATTTATAGTATAAGGTAAGGAATATTTAATAATAGAGGAGTTATCTCTAGTAACTAGCACTAGCTATCAAGCTATTCTAATTAATAGCATAATAGCTAGGTCCTAGTAAAAATAGTATAAATAATATAAGATAAAGGCAGAGAGTTAATATATACTTACTAAGTATATATAAAATATACCTGTCACACCCTGGGATCTTGTAATGGTACTAAACCTGTAACCTGTGAGTTAAGCCTGGGAAATACTAACTAGTGACCCTAATATAAGGATGTTAATAGTACTGGGTTACTCCTATAAGCCTATAATACTTAAGAATATAATAGGGTAGTTAAAGAGAGAAGTAAGGCTAAGAAGTATATATACTTCTTAATTAAGCTAGAGATATATAAATAAGTAGGTAGAATAATCTAAGGGTGACTAAAAGGTAGCTTTAGATTAATAACTTATATTAATTATAAAGAACTATCTAAGTATATAAAATAAGTGTCCTTATATATTCTTTACTAAGTATACTATCTTATATACTATTCATAGTATATTAAATGGTATTTTATCATGTGATATAGTTAGTTACTAGATAGTGGTTAAGAAGAGTATCCCATGAGTAATTTACAGTTCTCTATAATAAGAATATCTGTTTCCTTGACCGCCTAATTCTGCCTGATGTGGTCACTGATAAAGGTGCCATAATAATACCTAATTTATATATAGAATAATGTAATCGGACACTAAGCTGCCATGGATACTGAGCTGTGCGGTCACTGCCACTACTAGTGTGTCACACGAGTTGAGTTTACTCATGAGTAACAGGTAGAGTTTGAGTAATGAGGTGAGTTTGAGTTGAGATTCAGGACTCATAATATAAGTTAAGTTAAGATTTAGGACTCATACTATAAGTTCAAGCTCTAAATATTTTAAAACTCTACTTATAATACTAAAAATACACCTATTTTATATGGGGGAGGCTTGAAAATACAGTAAAATATAGTAAAAATACAGACTCTTACTCTACTCTTACTCTTCTTAGCATGAGTTCAAGTCCTAAACCCTAACTCTACTCATGAGTTTGAGTCCTACCTTCTAACTCAACTCGTGAGTCGAGTCCTAAATCTCTACTCAAACTCCACTCGTGTGACACGCTAGTCCTAATAGTAGTTATATACTATATACCATATCTTAGTAATAGTAGATGGTAGTTAGTTATATAAGTATAGCAGTGTTGCTAGATAGTGGCTATAAAGAGTATTATAATAGTAAATCATAATTCTCTATAATAAGAATATCCATTCCCCTTGACCGCCTTATTCTGCCTGATATAGTCACTGATAAAGGTGCCATAACACTATCCTTTATTATAGTAGAAGTAGTACTTAAAAAGGTAATAAAGGGAGTAAAGGTTATTATATATAATATAATCCTACTTTAATAAGAAATTTATTAGCTATAGGCTTTAAAAATATATTAAAAGAAGAGAAAAGAGACCTTATAATACTATATTTAGGATAGAGTAAGTTTAACAGGCCTTTAAGCTACTTAGAAAATAGTAAAGAGAGAGAGGGAAGTAGAACTAGATCTATTATTAGGATAAAAGCTATAGTACACTATATACTATAGTCATTATAACTAAGAAGGTCATAACCAGCTGAGATACCCTATTAAGTAGTCATTCTTTTATTTCTTAATATATTATATTTATATGGGTGTAAAAAGCTTCAAAAATAAGACTGCATTTTGTTAGAATCGTAGGTATGGAGTTGGCCACCGCCCGCCGCGCAGCTCGGTGTCCGGTTACATTATACTAATCCCTTATATAATATATTATTAAGGTATCTTTAAAGTAAGAGAAATAATAAGATACATTATATTAAACTAATTACTAAGGTATAATATACTATACTTAATACTTAAGATATTTACTATATAATTATATAATATATAGTAGGACAACCTAGTATACAACTAAGTAGATTTATAAGATATTACTAGGAATGCTGCCATGTCATAATATTAAATTATTAAATATATAGTGGTCTTTTAGCCCAGCAGGAAATCACCTGACCTAGAGTGGTGTTCTAATACTTATTAAACAATAATTTAACCTAGCATAGTAAGCATCACTACCCCAGGGGTATGCTCTGTAATAAAATCCTAGGGTGAAGAAGTTTTAGAAGTTTAGACTGGCAGACTAGTAAGATATGATTGGTTGAAGAAAGTGGTTCCCACAGGCAGAAAACAAAAGCGGCCACGTGGGAGTGAGTGCAAACTCACTCAGTACACCTCACTGCAGCTATTAATACCTTTACCAATCCACAATACACCTATATTTTTTTTTTTGGGCCTTTCTAGCTGATGAAACCCCACTATGCCAGAAGCCACCAGTAAACCTCAGCCTGACCTAGAGATCAGTGAAGTAAGTCTCATTTTCTTCTTCTATAAACATGCAGAACAACCACTGTCATAGGGGATATACTGATATACTACATTGCACCTTAATGAATATACCATTAATTCCATTATTCACCACGTTCAAAGCTGATGCTAAATAAGATATAGGCATTTAAAGATGTTGCTAAGTATTTAACCCCAATTACAAGTCAATATTATATATGTTCATGACTCTAACCCACTGGCCGAAAAGTGGCGAGAAGGCAGCACTAGTTTTGGAAAATCATTTAGGTAGTCTGGAACAAAGGATTGATGATCTTCTTGAAATGTGTGAGAGACATGATGTTCAACAGAATAGTCCAAAGCAAAATGGGCAAGGGCATGGGGAAAGGTCTCAAGCCTTTGAACAGCCCTGAAACAAGACATTCAAGTTGAACACATCGTCTGGACCCTTCTCCACCACACCTACTTCTGTAATTATACCGTCAATGAGCGTCGAAGGAGTGACATCGAATGCTGGATTCCAAACATTTATTCCCTCTGCTGCGATGCGTATTGTGTTCAACACCAGGCCACTGGTAACACTATCTTCTTCGCAGGGGCCTCTTAATTTCGTAACCTCTGAAGCAGGGCGCTCTTCAATGATAATATCATTGCCTGACTTCGTAGCTAGATCAATTGTGGTGAGTGGCGCTGCCACGAGGAACTTCACTCCGTGGTGCTTTGCAAGCACAGCCAGACCGTATGTGCCTATTTTGTTCGCAGTGTCCCCATTGGCCGCCACTCTGTCAGCTCCCACCACAATAGCATTCACACCAATCTCCGGCTTCGCAAGTAATGCACCTGCCATTGAGTCTGTTATCAATGTGGCAGGGAGATTGTCGTGGACCAGCTCAAAGGCGGTCAAACGAGATCCTTGGTTGTAGGGCCTCGTTTCGGTGCAATACGCGTGATGTAAAGTGCCATTGGACGCTAAAGCACGAATCACACCCAATGCTGTTCCATATCCCGAAGTCGCAAGAGACCTGTTTACATATATACTTCGTCAATTACGCTCGGACAGGGATGTCAAAAGAAAAGCGATCTCAATTGAAGGTGATAGAGCTTACCCAGTGTTACAATGTGTAAGAATGGTGGCTCTTGACTTCACTGCGTCAAGAGCATTTGTAACAATCCAATCCGCGCCATTTCGGCCAATCTTCTTGTTATCGTCCACGTCCTTAACTAGCATGCCCTCGGCTGCTCTAATAAAGGCAGTCGCAATGCCATGGCTAGTAGCTTTGATTTCACTTGCAAGCTCCCCAACAAGAACTTCAAGTTTGCGAGCGGCATCACCAAGATTGACGGCAGTCGGTCTGCTAGTCACAAGATACTGTAACTTCTGGGTAATTACCGCTTGAACCTCTTCCGCGGTTGCAGGTAGCTTGTTCTCCGCGAGAAGTGCATGGATCTCAGATGCAAGTGCAAGAGCAGCTACGATAGCAATGGCAGGCGCTCCTCGCACTCGCATTTCCTTGATTGCATGCCAACCGTCTTCGGCTGTTCGCACCGGTATATATTCCTCCACATATGGAAGCCGTAATTGGTCGATTATGGCGAGTTCACCATTGCTGTACCTAATTGCCTGTAGCACCATTTTCAATAGATTCTGTGACAAAGAGTGTAATCAGTCTATTAAGTTTTGGTTTTAATTGTAAAAGGCAGGAGAAAGTATAATATACGAGTAGGAATAGAGCACCTGAAGATAGATTGTATACCTCTGTATTTTGTGTCTAGTTCTTTTTTTTTTTTTGGTGGTCAGTTGTGTTTGCATAGAGGGGTGGGTTTGTTGAGAGTAGAAATGTAGAAATATGCCTTTTAACGTGGGGCAAGATGGAATGGCCTAATTTCGAGTACTGATTCTATGTACCCCACCAAAAGTGCTGTGATAGCAGAAATACTTGTTAATGCCCATTTTAAAAAAGGGGTGGGGAGCGAGGTCGGAAAAGGATAAAGTCTTAAACAAAAGAAAACATATAGTTATAATAAAGATGAAAAGAGGGTGATGGATAGACAGGAAGAGGGGGTGATACTAGATTAGAGTCCCAGGAAATGTTATGGATAGAGGTACCTACCTGGTAGGTATATGCTATATGTATGTATATTTTCCCTAGAAAGGTACCATTCACTCTTAAATGCCACAATACTGTATAGTGGTCCCCTTCAAATAGACCCTAAATCAAAATAATCGGACTGAATAAACCCCCAAACCAAACCCCCCTCGTCCCCAAAGGAGCAAGAAAAGGAAAAAAAAATAAATCCATTCCGTTAGGTTACATCCATACAGTGTAGTGGGTTAATACACACACCATGGGTATGTAGTAATATACCTAGTAGGATACAGTTTTATTCAATAGACATAGAATTAATGTGAAGAGATATAGAGCACTATATTTTAAAACCCAATATTAGATATATAAGCCATACTTCGGGGTGGAGGGAGTCAAACCATTATTTCCTCGCACAAAAGCATCACCATAGGTCTGCCTTAACCTTCCATTCACAAATTCTTCTGTTTTCTCCAAGGCAATATTCATGTAGCCATCCACTGACTGGAGTTCACCTAAGCAGATAGTAAGCATCCATCTATCTCCCTCTAGATAGGTAAAGGCCTTGGAGGAAAGCTGAAACCTTTGTAAACAACACCAGAGTTCAATTTCACTGTTACTGGTGCACCGATAATCTCACTGAGGAAAGCTGATGGGTCTTTGCCCTCTGATGAAGCACCATTTTCCATCTTCTCTGCCAGTGGAGGAAACACAATTGAAGACCTTTATGTTGTTGTTGTTGTAGCTTTATTTATTATTTTGTTATTTTCTTTTTTCCAGCTGCTGCTATCTGTTTCCTCTTTCCCCTCCTTCACTGAGATAGACTGCAAGATGGGAAGGGTAAATAATTATAAATAATGTTGCGTGTCAACTTAGTAACCAACCAGGCTACCTAGTTAAGTTAGCTAGTTACCTAAGGTAGTTAGAACCCTTAAAATCAGGGTGGCCCTCCCAAAAAAGATTTTCACGTGAATTTAGTTTGTTGCCTTCAAAGATCCTTCTATATCCATAGTAGCACATAGCATGTGCAATAAATGCTTTGTTGACTCTTTACCCTTTGCACCATCCATCAATGAAAGTATATAACCTAGAAGAGTCTTTTCTCTCCATTTTTGGTTACCTACTGGTCTTATTTCACACAAGACATTACCAACCTGGATTTCGTGCATTCTAAGGTATCAGATATATCATCATGCGGTCTTTTTTCAAAAGGCCATCCTGGGCAAGTAGAGGAGAAGAAAGCATTCAGTCCGATTTCTACCGCCGCTCAGGACAGGTTTATGCAGACATAATTGCCTCGAATAAGGAGGCGCGAGAAAGCCTCACCACCAGTGTTGGTGACTCCCCAGTAGAGGATTCTCAGACATACAAATTCCACTGCATTTCTGGCAAAGATGATAATATCTGTTATGACGCACCAACTGATACTGGGGGCCCCAATCTGAGCCCCACAATAATCAATGACCAGGAATCATTACACATGTCACAAAACACTCTCCCCCAGAATGAACCCAAGGAGGAGCAGCGCATTGATCGCCACACGTCGAAAATTGCAGGCCCAGGTAATATCGACCCTGCAGATGATGTTTTTGGTACTCATGGCGATACAAATATGTCTGGTAACCAGCCAATCAAATGCAACATGCAATCTCAAAAGAAGCACATGCTAGGAGGCAGCGGGGGCGAAAACAGTTTATCTGATACACGAAGTCCCGAAGCCATCCTCAATTACAGTGAACATGGCCAGAAAACAAGACTTGATAATACGCTGCCTTGTGAGCCGACACAGGAAGATCCAGTCGTTCAGATACTCATCACATCAGAAATTGAAAATTCAAAGCCGTTGATTGTTCATCGAAAGATGTCTCAGCCATTGAAGGATGTTCGCTTGGCTTGGTGTAAACGCCAAAACTTAACAGATAAATTGCAGTCCTCTGTGTTTTTGACATGGAAAGGCAGAAGGTTGTTTGATGTCACTACTTGCAATAGCCTGGGGGTTGATCGATGGCGTTTCCCCGCTATAGATGATGATGCACAAGTTGGCGATGGAAGCCTGCGTATTCACATGGAGGCAGCCACGGCAGAACCTTTGAATTTCACCAAAAAACCAACTTTGTCTGCTACGAATTTAAGCGCAGGCTTGGAATCTACAGACATTGAAAGCACGGAGCAAGATGCTTTGATTAGGGTCATTTTGAAATGTCCGGGGTTGGATGATTTTAAAACAAAAGTTACCCCGAAGACACAAATATCACGCCTCGTTGCTGCATTTCGAGGTTCAAAACAACTCCCTTCGGACAAACATGTGTATCTCTTATTTGACGGTGACCGCTTGGATCCGAACAATTGTCTTGTGGACTATGACATTGCAGATCTTGATTTGGTGGACGTCATCATTAAAAAGCACACATAGTTAGGTCACTTTTAGTGCCGACAATCGACATCTTTGCTACGGTGTTGCGTCTAGAATCTCGAGCTTTATTTGAATTCTGTTCTATGATACGAATTCCAATGTGCAGAGAGTAATTTTTTGATAGTCACTGCAATTGATCATCGTATGTTGGTTCAATACGATGCACAATAAAATAAATGAGACGACATAAAGATAAAGCAGAGCCTGAGGATCGAACACAGGCCCTCGCTGGCAGTAGCCCATTATGATGGATCGAGCAATTTCTTAAAGCCAATAAAGCTGACTACTCCACTTTGATAATGATTAACCTTTTTTTATGCTGGTGGTTTTTGGGTCATCACCATTTTTGTTGTACTTGTTATAACCTAGCTTTCTTCAATACTTACACAAATTGAATCCTACCAATTTTTTAGGGGCACCGTATTTATTGTTTCTCTTATCCCCCCATCTGATTACAGCCGAAAAAGAAAAAGAAATGAAAGTAATAACTGCTAATTTCATGACTTGCGCTGTTAAAGGTTGCAAGACATCCCCCACCTCATTCCCGCTTCATTTTCATGATGCCGAATTAGAATTGCAGGAGCTGGATTTCCAACCACAATTCATACGCAACATTATCTCGCGAATTGATTGGGATGGGCTGCAGGTCACTGTTAACGAGGTAGCAAGACCTGTTTCTGGCCAAAACATTTGAGGGATGAATGCACTGACTATTTGAAAGCTTGGTTTCCCAAAGATTCCCGATTCGAAGCCCGAGGGCGAAACACTGAATGATGAGCAAATACTTAAGGACCTTCACCGTTTACTCCTAGAAACTCAGGTTATGGAAGGGAAATTAACATGCGGAAACTGTGGCCATGAGTATATGATCAAGGAGGGAATTGCAAATTTTCTTCTCCCTAGTCATTTGGGTCAGACAATCCACGTCGTCTTTTATTATCTAGAATAATTTGCTGATACCAATTCCTATAACTAGTCTAAAATCTCTGCGACGGGTTATGACGAAACCCAAAGACAAAAGCGATGCGGATTAGGACGCCGACTGATCCCAATTCTATAATACTCTTACGTTTTCTTGCACCACGCATCAATGGATCTTCCAGTCCATACACATCATCAAAATTTATTTCCTCCGTTCAACATAGACTAGCTATTATCTGGATTATAAGGTACATGACAGTATGTAGTCCATTTAGAACCAATTTCAGGTGCAAGGGCACTGGCACGAATGCAACAAAACCCAACGACAAGGCCCCAAACCCACAGCCAAAACGCCAATGCCAATGCTGTTACCCATCAATGACCCCAAGATGAATCCATGCACAAAAAAGTAAGTAAAAAAGAAAAAGGGAAGGAAGATGAGTGGTAGCAATATAATTCCAGCGTCAGGTAATGCATTGGAATTAATTGAGAAAGCCTTTGCAGCCTGTCGAACCGCAAAGACATGGGATCCTGTCATCACTATCCCACTCTCTTTCGAATTTGTAATCGTAAGTCAGCTCCTCATCTGGGGCATTGTTAGTATATCGAGCAAAGGACTTGATCCAGGTGAGGTTTGTGGTGAACTTACCACGTTCAATATCCCTCAAAGCGTATATAACAATTCGTTTACTGCCGTCAACCTTGATGATTTTGGCAGTGCAATTTGGCGTACAGCTGTGGTTGATAAATCTGGCAATGCCTCCCCTTTTTGTAGCATCTATAACAGTGTTTTCATCGATTCGAAAAAGATAGCTGCTGCCAATCCCACTTTTCAAATACTGCCTTTCTCTCATGTCTGCAACCTGCTGTCGCACCTTTTCACCGACATATTCAATTATCATATCATTTGCCGAAATGTTCTCTTCAGCATACAAACCCCAGTTATGAATCGCAGACCTCGCAAAGCGGACGGGTTTCTTTCGTTTCTTGAGTTGGTTGAATCGAAGAACATCGCCGTCTCCACTTTGAGTTGGAAGGGCTTGCTTTTGTGCATTGATGTCTGCGATTAACCGGCGATTATTAACCCTAGTCGATCTAGACGTCGATTTAGAAATCGTCTTGGCCGCAGCAATCCGCGCAGCCTCAGCGGCAACAGCGTGAGGATCACTCTTTGCCTTGGCTTCTCGTTCCTCACGCGCTTTCTGGACTTTGATTCGATGTGGCAGATATTTTGACTTCTCTGATTCCAGAATTCTTTTCCTGCCTTCAGTGCGAGCTGCACCTGTCAGGTTCGAAACGTAATAGCCACAAATGGTAGTTTCTTCGTGAACTGGCCCTGTGGTCCCAGGACGATTGAGCGCTTTTATTTCTTTTTGCCTCCATGCCCAAGCTGCTAGATTTCCAACATCTGACTTTGGCTGGTCACTTAAAACACACCGAAGGAAATACATGTCCTCGTCGTCTTTGACCAAATTCTGCCAGCCGTCGAGATCTAGGATAATCGCATCGTCGTCCTCGACCGTTGGACGGGGCTCGTCATTTGATACTCGCCACTCGATTTCTATTCTCAACCCCTCGGGCTTAACCGCGTCCTTGTTGCCACAGGAATTGGTATGTATCCCGAAACCTGGATCTTTTTGGTGAAGCGAAGTATTTATACCAAGTGACTCAAGGCCTATGAGCTCCCTTCCAGGTGTTCCTGGTTTTGGGGGCCCATGTTCTTTTGTTAGCTCCAGATGAGAAGTAGAATGAGTACTAAGACCCGCAGTATTGCTATCAACACTTGCCAGTGGCAATGCAGAATGATCAGTTCCGTCTTCCGTTTCCACGACGGAATTGATGCCAAAGAGCTCATCATCCTCTTTCTGTCGCTTTCGTACTTCGAGCTCTTCGCTAAGCCTTTTCCTTTTCCGAGAAGTGGGAGATAGTTCGTGAACGCCGGTAACTAAACGATCCAGGTTGATATGGTCCTTTGTATCCTCAGCATCAAAATCTCGTAGCCCATCCACTGTTGTTTCGGCAATTGACGAGTGTAATGTTTCGGAGCCGAAACCACCATCATTTTCGAACTCTGAAGAACTTGAGCTCATCCGACTGGGTGGTCGACTGTCTTGTTCATCAGTGTCTCTTGTGAAAGGAGTCCGCTGGTCATCATCTGAATCGTCGACATCATGTAGCTGTTGCAATCGATGGTAAAGCGGTCGGACTTCCCTTCTGCGCGACGGCTGCTTGCGCCTTTCATCCAGAAAGGCAGCATCTGCACGGTCGAGTCCACGGGCCTTTCTGATGCGTGGAAGCGCAAGTACATTTAGGCCAGGTGTATTGAATGGTCGCTGACCGTTCGATAGTTCGGCACGAGAATCCGGCGTAGCAACGGAATTATCCACTCCGATTCGAAATACAGGCCTTTTGATACCGACAGGATCTGGAATACCTAGTCTTTTTCTCTTCGCTGCATGCCGATCCGGCTCAAGATAGTCATATAGAGCTGGGACAGCAATGCGTGACTTGACATCTTCTAGAAGCTTGTCTTTCAAATCACGGAGTATGATTGTCAACACTTCCTTGCAGGGATCCAAGTCAATTGCTCGTTGCTTCTTTTCTTCCTCAATATCAAGCTCGGCCTCTTTCTTTAGCCTTTCCTTTTCGGCCCTCTCTCGCTGCTCTGCTCGCAGTCGTTCGGGGCTTGGGCTGCGCTCGTAATTAGGATTGCCATAAGGCTGGCTTTCCATATTCATAATATATGTAAATAGAGGTTTCATATGACATATCTTGTAGCAACGCTCAGTTTCCTCTTCACCGCGCCTTGAGTTCTCAAATATGATATAATAGCCCGTTTTGTCGCAACGGATGTGTTCCCAATTGAATAGCTTGAGTCTCTTTTTTAAGTGCGGCACAGTGGTGCTCAGAACGGGTACATAACAATGTGCGATGAAAATATATGGGGCACGCTTGATTTGACTCAATATAGGAATCTCTTCGACAAGCGATGGCACAGTCGGCTTCACAAAGCTAGCCCGCGGTCCTTCCGGAATTGCGGGAACGGCAGATATCGCTCGATTCAAAGACCTCCCCGAAGGACCTTTCGGAGCGGTGGGCGGGGGTTCATTCCTTTTTGCCTGCAGCTCGATCTTTGTCTCCTCGGAAGCCGAAATGCTGCTTTTGTGTTCCATTCTCTGGGAATCGATAGCTCTCAAGACAATCTTTTCCGATATAACACCATCCCTATCCAGTTCAACTCTTATACGGCGAGTTCCGATGCGTTGTTCTTTCTTGCATTCATAATAAGCTCGCCTCGCCGCGCTGGTGGCGGGGACAGGGATGCCCCCACGAAATGACCCGCTGTCTTTGTATTTAATGGAACATATCCCCAGGAACCTGCCAGTGATGGGATCTGTGCGGTTGTTGATTTCAGAAACATCCCCAAAGCTTGAGAAAAGTGCACTGATTGGTGCGATTGGAGTCAGAGGGTCGAACCCTGTAACCACTATCTGAATGGGTGGACCGGGGCCAATAGTAGTAAGAGCGTCATATGGCCATTGCTTCAATGTGTAGGGCGCTGGTCGATATTTCGTTTTCTGTTTACAACCAGCCCCTCGTGTGTAATTCGATATCCCAAGACGGGGGTCTGACGGGCAGGCATTTTGCTCGGAGATGGTTATATCCACATACTGGGGCTTTCTTCGCTTCTCCTTTGATAATGTTCGCCTATCAATATCTGGGTCGTAGACCAATTTGCAGCCCTTTGTTGCGTTCCCAATTCGCCGTGTCTGCGACTGTGGAGTCGGGGGCGTTTGAAGGGGGGTTATCGCAGGTTTTCGTTCCTTAGCACCGAAATTGTTGGAATTCCCTTCTGCAATGCCGTCTGCTGTCTTTGTTTGGGGGCTTGCTTTGCAAATTGGAGAGGATTCAGCGTTTGTGAGCGGCGTGAGTGTATCAAGCTGTGGCTCATTTAAGTTGGTTGTGCCGATTTGAGGAAGCGAGGAGCTGAGAACCGAAGCACCGGTGCTCGCAGAACTTGCAGACCCAATCCCAATGGCTTCCGGTACTTTAGTCGATTCCTCATATAGCCCTGATGCTTCGTCGGCAGACGCACTGCCGTTTGCGAAATTATGAGTGGTGACTGGTTCTGTAGAGCAGGCCAGATGGTCATCACTATGTTCGCTGTTGAGTTGGTCATTAACCTGTTGTCGTTCTCGCGTGGCCTTGAAACGTTTCTGCTGGAGAACAGATGGTGCAGTGGGGAAGAAGTCTGCAAAGCCGGCTGAAGAGCGCGACATAGTGAGAGATGGCTACAAGCCAGGGGTAGAGTTGCTGCGACCAGTAAGCATCCTTGACCGCTGTCTATCGACTAAGGCGAAGACATACGGCCAGGAATCCCTCCTGACGCAAGTGGAATGGGAAGGAGGAACGAAACACAATCTCCAGGGGAGAAAAAAAAAGACAGAGAAAAAGAGGGAAAGGGAAGATGTAGAGTGGGGTGAGATTGAAATTTGAGAATAAACCAGGTGTGGGAGTTGGGGTCAAGGAATGGATTATAGTTAGTAGGCGTAGGTAAAGCTTCCGGGTGAAGTTCCTATTAACGCGACGAAGAGAAAGACGCGAAGCAAATCACAACCAGCGCCGGAGTAGCGGGGGAGGGGATTCGATAAAGAAAGCAAGTGTTGACTTATAAAGGCGCGCTAGCAAAAGGGAAATAAACTGTCAAAATATAGAATTGTCGGCCACCAGTGTAATTCAAGAAATTTTTACAGTGCAGTTGCTGGCGGGAAAGATTATAGGCCACTGTTCTTAGTTCCAGCAGCAAGAACAAACGTTGGCAGGGATGGCTGACTACTTTACTTTACTAGGTACGAAAAGGTGTTAAGTTACTGGCAGTAAAATAATATTTGGCAGGCGGAGAACAAGATCTGGAGTCCATTCACTTCTCTTTCATTATTCATTTCTACCTACTTACATTATGATGGTATAAAATGACAATATTTGAGTAGAATGTCATTTTTAAGCCCTCTTTCTTTCTTTGGATTGAATGTATGGCCAGACATCAATTTTTACTGCTAATGTCTGATACCGAACCCTAGTACTCCGTAACTGACTTTAATATATTCTGCTAGCCTTGTCCCACGTGTATCAGTTGGATAAGAAGGATGTTATTTGTATCTAGCTAGATATGCAAGCTGGGAGCTATGCAGTTGTGATGGGTGCTTTATTGGCAAGATATAAAATAATTACTGTGTGGTGCTAAATCTCTGCCGCACACCTTTCCTTCTGTTCTCCAGATTTATATCAATAACGCATCAGTAGGCATTCTCGGTAATTGGTAGTGTTATCTTATCCTCCAATGGGTCGTTTTCTAATTCTATGGGGCATCATACTTCCTAGCCTCTGTCCAGGGTGAATGCTCTTATTCCGCAACTGCCCTCTGCCGTAAACGTGTTGAAATTTTCTCATTCAATTAAAAGGTGATCACTACAATTAACCTTCATGGAATTTTTTTTTCTACTTGGTCACGTTTGGTACCTTTAAATACAGTTCCTAGCATCTGAATTGCGCCCTCCCCCTCTGAGAATCATACTTGAGAACCACCTACCTTAATCTGTTCATTCTTTGATATTCTTGTCTTGTCTAACTCCGATTACCTGGTCGTAGGGATTGGTATATTTGAAGGTGGTGTGGTATCAAGATCTGCATGAAAAAATGGTATGGGTATTATTATTCCTGGTATATAGCGCGACACCATAAAGTTTATAATAGAAGGACTACTTCAATTCCGACCATGAACATAGACCAGAGGCTAGATTCATCGATTATCGCTATTACTCGATACCTGTTTGACAACTCTTTCCATTCATTCCCCAAATGTTTAAAAGGGAAAGGGCAAAAAGAATGGGAGAGGAAGTGCAGTAGGTAGATGCCTAATGACAAGTCTATCTAATGCTGTGTCAATTGGAGGCATAGGGTATGTATACATATTCTGTAAGTACCTATGTAGGTAAATACCTAGGCTCCTGGGTTTGTATACCTTACTTAGCATTGCCCTGTAACTACCTAATAGATAGTCAAGTCAGCATGCTGCACAAGTATGGCTGCTAAACTATACTCATTTATATAGATGTAACGAACAACGGGGTGTAAGAACATAAAGTCAAAAGGGGAAGAACGAAAACGTAGTTAGAAGTAAAGAGAAGATATCAATCCAAATGGCTGCTCTAAAGACGCTGAAATGTCATTGGGGTATGCATGAAGCTAAGAATCAGAAAGAGGCGGGGTCGAATAAGGGACTGTGGGGTTATTGAATACTACGTACATACCACTTGTTCATTTCCAGTTTTCTGTCCAGCTTCCTCACACACACATATATATATATAAATATATATATTGAGGGGATAGGGGCCGGGGAGGGGGGGGGAGGTTGGATGCGTAACTTGCAGCCCAGTGATATTCTCAGAATGATTCAAACTTTGCGTGCAAGCAATAATAATGACCCGTGGCGCTGACCGACATTATTCGGGTTCTCGGGAACCGTTTGACGGTGGCCGTTGACTAACCTGGCACATAGCCTGTAGGTAGTCTGCCAATAGTCTTTTCAAAAATAGCAACTTCAAGGTTTTGAGCATTTGGGTCAATGACCACATCAAGCTGGGATATTGCAATACTCAGTGCATCAGACACTGTATTACTACCCAGGGGTGTGCCTAAATCTGTATTCATAATAATTTATATACATAATCGACAAGATACTACTGCAATTATGCCCAACAAAAATGCAGTTTTATTGTGCTATTATTTTTTGTCACAAATCGACTCTGTACTGGTCTGATGCCAAGGAGACGAGGCATTGGAGGGAAAATAAAATAAGGTGGAGGGCGAATCGATTTCAGTAGGAACTAATACCTGCCCATAGCAACCAACTGTCATCAGGGCTGAATTTTGGGGGGGGGGGGGAGGTTCCCTTCTCCCTTTCTCCCTGTAGTGTATCTTAGTATGAGGTACACTAAAGTACCCAAGATTACTACTCCGTATCTATCCACATATGGCAATATTGAAGAGTAGGCTTACTATGTATAGTACACATGGAATACAGATTCTTGAGAGAAAAAAAAGAATAATGACAATAAAAAAAATAACCAAATATGGAACCCTTATGCGTGGTAGTGGTGATATATGTAGAATCTTCGTTCACAGACCAGTTGGAGCACTGGGTTGTTTTTATTGGAATCTGCCCTTCCCCTCCCCCCACCTCCTTTCCTGATACCGACTAGGTATGATACGTATCATTCTGGAACAGGATTGACAGCCAGACCTCTCAAGTATCTACTCCTACATACCTAGTAGACATGGATAAACACAGAAATTGTGTATGTACATACGAAGTACCCATGTAGTAACTAGGTGCCTATCTAATATTTATGTTGATGTTGTGGGTTATTTTTGTCCACTCATGGCGGCAAAGTGGAGACCATGACCTGTTAATAGTCTTCCATGGGCAATGGTCTCGAGGCAGGTGAGACATACCGACAGACTTGTGTGAGGCGCAGAAGGCTCGTTGGCCACTTCCTTCACTGCGCCCTGGTTTCAGTCCACAGCAGCTCCTTGGTCCGTGTGTGGGACGATCTAACAACATAAAACATACAGCTCCCCCTCCATCTGTTCCACGATCTCGATCAACTCAAACTTCCCTTTCCCTCTAACAGCCTCTCACACCTGCCAAGTACGTGCTCGCACCTCGGTACCTTCCCTTACAAAACGACCAAGTTGCTCATATTTCCCTTTGTCCATAAGTCAACCTTGGTGACATTTTTCCTTTGTTGACAAGTTCCAAGTCTCCATCCTCTTCTCTCTGTTGCGACACATTTGAGATCTAGCTCTCTGTCCATCACCCGCATCTTTCCATTCATCATCGACCGAGTGTGGTTTGAACAAAGAATCTTACTCATCAATCAATCATGTGGTATGTTCCTTTTATGAGCCATGTCAAATCCATTTGAGCTATGCTTACCAGCCCCAGTGGCATTTTCGGATACATCAACTATCTCGTTGAGAGGGACCGCAAATTCATCCTCGACACTCTCCTCAATGGTTAGTGGACCGTCGAATCTACACAGTGACTATCAACTGATAATCTCCTTTTCCACAAACTACAGGACTCTCGAGACTTGAATACCGTGGCTATGACTCCGCGGGACTCGCCATAGATGGTAACAAGAAGAAAGAAGTCTGTGCTTTCAAGGAAGTCGGGAAAGTTGTGAAACTGAAAGAGCTCATCGCGGAGTGTAAACCTGACCTTGAGAAAACATTCGAGTCCCATGCTGGTATTGCCCACACACGCTGGGCTACCCACGGGACACCATCGCGCCAAAACTGTCACCCCCACCGGCAAGTATCCCTTCGTATCTGTGTTTCGTTTTGTTTTTTCTTCATTCTTTTTTGAAAGAAAGGAAAGGGGGCGGGGGAAGCAGAGTGGCCACATAACCATATCATGCTTTCCCTCTGAACGGCCATTGTTATCGGACATCCTATTGGCAACAGAATGTGCTAATGGATTTTTTTTTTCGACAGATCTGATCTAAATTGGGAATTCTCTATCGTTCACAATGGTATTATTACCAACTACAAGGAATTGAAGGCTCTATTGGAAAGCAAGGGCTTCCGCTTCGAGACCGAGACAGACACAGAGTGCATTGCTAAGCTCACAAAGTATTTGTACGACCAACAGCCAGATATCGACTTCACCGTCCTGGCAAAAGCTGTCGTGAAGGAGCTAGAGGGCGCGTTTGGTCTACTCATCAAATCCGTCCACTTCCCCCATGAGGTTATTGCCGCTCGCAAAGGATCTCCCCTTGTGATCGGTGTGAGAACTTCCAAGAAGATGAAGGTGGACTTCGTGGATGTCGAATATTCAGAAGAGGGTGCTCTTCCAGCGGAGCAGGCCTCCCAGAATGCTGCTATCAAGAAATCTGCTACTGGCCTCCTTGCCCCACCTGACAAGTCGCTGCTGCATCGGTCACAGTCACGCGCCTTCCTGTCGGATGATGGCATCCCCCAGCCGGCAGAATTCTTCTTGTCTTCGGACCCGTCCGCAATTGTCGAGCATACCAAGAAGGTCCTCTACCTTGAAGATGACGACATTGCTCATATTCACGAGGGACAGCTCAATATTCATCGTCTTACCAAAGATGATGGCACCTCCAATGTTCGTGCTATCCAAACCATTGAACTCGAGCTTCAGGAGATTATGAAGGGCACATTTGATCACTTCATGCAGAAGGAAATTTTTGAGCAACCCGAGTCTGTGGTGAACACCATGAGAGGTCGGTTGGATGTTGCGAACAGACAGGTCACACTCGGTGGACTTCGACAGTACATTTCTACCATCCGCCGCTGCAGGAGAATCATATTTATTGCGTGTGGAACCAGCTACCATTCATGCATGGCTGTGCGTGGTGTGTTTGAAGAACTCACTGAGATCCCCATAGCGGTTGAGCTCGCCTCCGATTTCTTGGATAGACAGGCACCGGTTTTCCGTGATGATACCTGTGTCTTCGTTTCCCAGTCTGGAGAAACAGCTGACTCGCTCATGGCCCTCCGCTACTGCCTTGAAAGAGGCGCATTGACTGTTGGAGTTGTTAATGTGGTTGGTTCATCTATTTCCCTCCTGACACACTGCGGTGTGCACATCAATGCTGGCCCGGAAATCGGTGTCGCCTCCACCAAAGCATACACATCCCAGTTTGTTGCGATGATCATGTTTGCTCTCAGCCTCAGTGAGGATCGTGCTTCCAAGCAAAAGCGGAGAGAAGAAATCATGCAGGGTCTTGGCAAGGTATCGGAACAGTTTAAGGAGATTCTGAAACTCAATGAACCCATCAAACAACTATGCGCAAATTTCTTCAAGAACCAGAAGAGTCTACTTCTCCTGGGCAGAGGCAGCCAATTTCCAACAGCCCTTGAAGGTAAGAAGGATCAATTTTTCGTAAGATGCGAGCGTGAGAACTTTTAAACTAACGAACCAAACAATACAATAGGTGCCCTCAAGATCAAGGAAATTTCTTACCTCCACTGTGAGGCCGTTATGTCGGGTGAGCTGAAACATGGTGTTCTTGCATTGGTGGATGAGAACCTGCCCATCATTATGATCCTTACACGTGATGAGATCTTCACCAAGTCGCTGAATGCCTACCAGCAAGGTAAGTTCAAAACAAAACGTAAGCAATTTCGGGAAGACTTTCTAATGCGCTTGTAGTCATTGCCCGAGGTGGTCGTCCTATTGTGATCTGCAACCACGAGGATCCCGAGTTTTCTTCTGCCCAGACAGAGAAGATCGAAGTCCCCAAGACCGTTGATTGCCTCCAAGGTCTTCTCAACGTTATTCCACTGCAGCTTATTTCTTACTGGTTGGCTGTTGGTGAAGGCCTTAACGTTGATTTCCCTCGCAATCTTGCGAAGTCTGTCACTGTTGAGTAGATTGATAATTATTGTACATCAAAAGAGGCATTGCGACAGCGATTTGAGGACATGGGTCTTTTATGATATTCATTAACACCCCCATGCATCAGTGCTCCAATGGAGAAGGACCGGTCCCTTCCTTTCCTTTCCTTTCATTTACTTATTTCTTATTTCCATAATGCTAGGACGAATTCACGTTTTACAGATTGTGCCTGCCTTTAGTGTCGCTTGGGATGGTCTTAATGGTGAATTCTTTAGTATTAAATATGGGCACAATTTTTAAATCTTGCTCGTCCCCTGTAATAGAAGCCTACAGGTTTTGGTCATGATTCTGACCGCATTTCACAAGCAATGATGGTGGTAATCATACAGATTACGCCTTAGGTTCTATCTCCACTGTCTACCCTAGACGCGTGGGTTGAAAAGAAAAGGATCTTCATGAATCCAGAATTGCTACGCGGCTTAGGTTGAAAAGCGTCTTAGTGTGGACTGTGACTTGTGGATTGGGACTTGGGAATTATCCCACATAATAATAAGTAAAATTGGTACCCCCCCCCCCTTTTGAACTTTCATGGGATGATGGGGGTTTTTATCTGTCATCACATTGATACTAGGTATCGCCTTTTTTTTTTTTTTTTTTTTTTAACTGTGGATATAGGATATTCAGTCAGTATTATCTAATACCCAGCTACTATGTACTCCGTAACTGCTACATAATTCTAGTCGATCTTATCTGATGGTTGCTAATTTTAGTTATTATATCAGTCCTATATCATGGTCCTTCTCGCTTGTCTCGTGACTTTGGAGGTAGATAAGGTAGGTAATTTCTATTGCTTGACATTAGTAAATTAGTAAACAGTTATACCATCACTACCTAGAAGGCTAGATTAATATAACTATACTATATATACATTATATAACAATAATAATAGAGATACATATGGAAGTTCTGCATGCACATCCATACTGAGGGTAAGCTAGGGTTAGATACTATGAGACTACCTAAACCCGAGACACTACCTCCAACCTAGATGTGAATATTATAATAATAATATTACCTACGTGGGTATATCTATGTAAGATACCTAATAATATATGTAAGATAGTAATACATGTGAGATAATAATATATTATCTTTACTGTGCTCAGCAGTACTGGACACCTCTCACTTACCCATAGTAAGGGGGCGCGGGGCTGTTCCTGGTTACAACACCCCACTCTCCACTTCTCAAACGTTGGTGGTACAATACAGGCAAGCTAACGAGTTGGACAGTTCATAACTTTATATATAACCAACCTTGACTCCAATCCCAACATCCATTATTGATCTCATACAAGAAATTCTACACTTTCTTACAGCATTAAAAGAAACCCATACAAAATGACTTCTTCTATCAAAGGACCAGGGGATGTTCAAACCTACGATGGTAAGTAACTGAGTTATGTCTTGGGCACAGCTACATATGCTTATGGCGTTTCTTTCTCCTTTTCATAGGTTCCGGGCTTCGAATCGCCATTGTCCACGGAAGATGGAACATGGGAATAATTGGACCTTTAATTGATGGCGCTAAAAAGCGCCTTTTGGCAGCTGGTGTGGCCGAGGAGAATATCATGACTCAGAGTGTCCCAGGCAGTTACGAGTTGCCATTTGCTGCTCAGCGGTAGGCTCCCTTCTTGTATTTGCTACAATCGAACCAAAAGCGCTAACCGTGGCCTCTATTTACCCAGAATTTATACAGCTTCGCAACTCCAGGCAGCTAAAAGCTCCTCTTCGGCCGAGGGCATCAGCGCCACGGATCTGCTCTCTTCATCTACTACGGATCTCAGCAAATCAGGAAAACAATCGCCTGCATCTGCTGCTGCATCTAGGCCATTTGACGCCGTGATAGCCATAGGTGTTCTTATCAAAGGAGAGACAATGCACTTCGAGTACATCGCTGATGCAGTCACACACGGATTGATGCGCGTCCAACTCGATTCCGGCGTGCCCGTTATTTTTGGTGTGCTTACTGTCCTAACCGAAGAGCAAGGATTGGAGAGAGCTGGACTTGGTACAAAGGGGATGCACAACCATGGCGAAGACTGGGGTAATGCTGCTGTGGAACTTGGTGTAAGAAGAAGAGAATGGAATGAAGGCAGAGGCATTTAGGATCTCGTTACTTTTTGGCTGGTGTGTATTTACTAGGCTCGCAAAAATAGTTGTCGATTAACAAAAGGGGATGAATGACAATATGGAATGGAGCCAGATTGTTTCTCGATGGCGGAAATGATATCTCGAAGTACATACTAGGTAGGTATTGGTCATCGCAGGATTGAATGTCGCATCTTATTTTCTAGATTTACTCCTCCATCCGTTCACCTTCATTAGCAGTGTTCTTTGTTCCCTCTTCCTCTTCCTCGTCCTCGCCTTCCAAAGCTCTCTTTGCTGCTTTCTCTGCTTCTTCGAGGAGCTCCTTGGGTACTTCTTCGTGTCTTCCTTTGGTTGGGCCATCTAGCGAACTAATCCAGCTCATTTCCAGCTCGAATTCTTTGTCTTTGCTGTCTTCGTGAGCGACGTAAATGATGCGAGCTGCTTCCTTGACAGCATCAACAAGGCTAAGGCTATCGGAGCCCAAATCTAACTTCTCGAGTTCAGCTTTGGCGGCTTGTCTCCCCTTCCCGGTGGCCGCGCCATGATAGCCCTTCAAGAATTATTAGCATGCACTGTACCAAGGAAACAAGGAAAGTATGGTTACGATACCCAATAGAGTCCGCTCGGCTCAATCATGTATAGACCAGGGCCTCCCGCTTTGGCACCTTCAACTTTACCACCAGATCCCGATTTTGGACCAGTTCCAACTTGACCATCAACAGCCTGTTCGATTTCGGAGTCCCAGCCCCCGACGATAGCGGTCACTCCAAATGGCCGTACACTGGAGTAAAGAGTGTAAGCCTGGACATAACTACCTAGACGGCTAGATAGGGCGGAAATCGGTATAGGCCCTTTGTATGCACTTCTCCACGAAGAGGCTTCGTCTCTGGCTCGGGAAACGAAGTGTCGACCATCGGGGACAAGTCCCGCTGACACCTGAATAGAGAAAGAAAAAAAACATTGATAAGCACCTAGAGCAATATAATGCGCGGAGACATTTCGATCAAATGTGGTGGGGTCTTACAATGCCAACATGACGATCCACCGTTGCTATTTTCTTATTGGCACCTGGCTTTAGAAGTTTGCTAGTGATGATTTTTTCGACTGCCAATACAACACCATCTTTGCATCGGATACCGATGGCTGTTCCCCCGTTCTCGACTGCCTTTACTGCGTATTCAACCTGCGAGCACGATCAGCTATTTGAAACCGAACAAGACAAGGGGCAGATGAAATACTTGGAAGTTTCGGCCATCGGGGGAAAAGACAGAGTTAGAAAGATCGTAGCCCGTACCAATCGACGTCTGTTGTGTGAGAAAGTTAGTATTAGTAGTTGTCAGCCTGAGTGAGGACGTACCATGGCTGTTGATGACGAATAAACACACAACAGAACAAGGATGGCGATAGATTAAAGGTAGAAGACCCAGATGAATAGACAAAGAAGACAGAGCTTATGGGTGCTGGAGGAGAGTAAAAAAGTGTAAATTGAGGACAGGTAGTTGGAGCTCTGGAAGATAAGATACTACTACAGAGCTGCTCTGGAGTTCCTTACCTTAGTTGCTCTAGCCCGCCTGACGCCAGCTGCGGTCGCGTCACGGGGTTTCTGCCTACTATGTTTCATCACATGATTTTTGCCTGGGGTGTCTATGTTGTCTATCTATTATCCTATCTATCAGCAGACTGGATATGGACACTACTTGAGTAGGTATTTCATACTTTGTAGGTATTACCTAAAGGTACTCATGCAGCAGGATCTATATGCGCAGCACTGTATTTTACCTACCCTCTTTTATAATGTGTCCGGTATACCTATTGGTTTGTTTATTGGTGTCTAGATCTCCACATAATAGCCAGCTCAGATGATTACCCAGTGTGTATTTTAATACAAACATACGGCGTACTGGTGGTTTACTCGAGGTTCTTTTTGAGTGCCCAACCTGCCCACATTTTCGGGCATCGATGTCCTGTTTGTTCTTCTCCCTCCCCGGCTGGCAACTTAGATGAAAAATAAATATATACTATTAATGTCCTAGTTCTATTATTTCTTTTCTATTAAAATTCATCTCAAGGCCCCTCGACAAGATTGGTTTCTGGTCATTATTGCAGAAGCATTGAAATCACAATCTCCCACAAATATCTGTTGTGCCTGCCATCTGAAGTTCCTCCCCGCAAGTTTCCCTATGAGAACTAGTATAAACACAGAAATAATTGCATATCCGATCTATTGAGCAGCCCCCTTGAAGCACACCAAAACATGTCTTCCTCCATACTGCACCAATGCCCATTCTGCGGGAAGACGACTGATGTCTCTACCGCACTTGCTGCCTTCATCGAGAATCCTCATTGTAGTCAGGTAGTCTTGTCCTTTACACTGTTTCTCTATTGAGTTCCTGACCAGAAGCACATGCAGTGTGGGTTGTCAACCTATGAGGGTGATATGAAAATGCAAGATGATCTTGCAGCACTCTTCTCCAAACAAATGAGTATGGACAGCATGGAGTACCGGGAAGCTCCCTCGCATAGCCCACCCAGTTCCCAGGCTTCCCCCATCACATACAGCATCACTCAGCACTACCACCACTCTTCGCATGTAGCACGCCATGTCACTACAGAAGATTCAACACCAAAGGAGACTTTGGTCGGTGGTACTTCGGCCTCTGTGATAGGCGAAGCACTGAGAAGCCATGACATTGACCCGGCGTCACTTTCCCCGGGCCAGTTTGATTTGTTTGCAAATGCGGCCCCTGAACAAAGATCGCGCTTAATTCAGATGTGGCAGATTTGCCCAGAAACTAGCAAGACAGACAGTTTCGGGGCCATGGATCGCATTATTAACGAGAGCTCGTACCAGTGGGACGGACTCTCTAGGGACATGGAGATGGACGACCTGTCCCAGGACAAGCGCAATGGTGATGATCATGATGGACAGCAATATGCCGAACCATATATGGCATCTGGTTACGAACTACTTGCCCAACGCGACTATGAGATATCGTCTGGGAAGGCTGTAGCGGTGGCTGGATTTAATAACGACAGTTCTTCTTTGCCAAACGAACCTTCAACTGGGTCGCCATACAAAGTTGCGAATGATCCCATCTATCAAAGTAAGCGATGGTGGGAGCATGCAGCCTCGGAGCCTATAGAGCACCAGTACGGTTCCTTCGAGCAAATGAATCGGTATCCCGGACGTGGTTTAGTGCAGTCTCATTGGCTGTAGGAAACCCAGTTTCTTTATACCCACTATAGGTACTATTATACGGAATAAATGAAGTGATGTTTGAGGTTTGGGTGAACACAGGACAATGCCTTTCCTTCTTGTTATAATTAAATAAGAGCGACCTAACTGCGGATTATTAGTCTGTTTAGAACGAGAGGCGCAGAATTAATCGTATATGAAAGCTGCCATTGGATGAATATCTCCAAAATACTGTAAGATGTAAACACATTGTCGATACCTAGGTAGACAAGTATACCCAAGAAGGCCCAAGGCTTTCTGCTACGGAAGCATTCGCCCAGACATCGGACCAGGTGCAACAACAGAGAGGTACCTTAGGTAGTAGTCCATTGACCAATAAATAGTGACATCCCGCTAAATTATCCATCTCTTGTATTCTTACTTCATAATTCTGCAAACAAAAGAAGACATTCAGGTCACATTACCCCCTGCTCCTCCTCTTTTTAATTTTTAAATAACAAAAGACAAAAGAGGTTCCAGTGGTCGCTTATCGACTGCTAGGTACATGAAACATAGTTGACTGTATCAAAGAACGTGTTCGCCACAAGCCGTCTGCATAGGCAAAGAAGAAGTCTTGTGGCTATTGGTGGATTTTCCATGTCATTATATCGACATTCTGCCTATGAATCACTGCCATAGCCAAGCAAAGCTGCACCGGTAGGACATGTTGATTGGCTGTAGAGCATTAGTAAATCGAACCCATAAACAAAACAACCTCCATAGATGACTGATTAACTCACCTTTATTCCTCATCGATTGCAGCCATAACTTCAGCGGAACGCTTGACATCATTGACAGCTTCAGCAGCTCGCTTGATCTTATGGCAACCCTGTCCGGGGAGGTAGCACCATTTTTGAAGAGCATCAGGAGAGGCATCAGGCATGGCCTTCGCAAGGGCCTCAGCAGAGCGCTTGATATCATTGGTGGCATCGGCGGCACGTTTCATGACGCTACAGCCCTGGCCGGGGTAGGCACACCACTTTTCCATGGCCGCAGCCTGGACATTAGTGGCAGCCAGCATCGCGACAACAATTGAGACAAGCTGCATTTTGACGGGGAAGAATAGAGTTGGAAATAACCGGAGAGAAGGTTTGAAGATTTGTAAGTCTTAGACTGAGAAGAGAGAAATAGGACGCTTGAGATGAAGTCGAACGATGGACGCGACAGCCAGCGTTTTATAGCCATGACATGATGGCCAGTAGAAGAATAGGTGCCATCTTAACCACAAACTTGTATCTCAATAGCAGATATCTTATTCATGTGTGTAAAAGGTAACATGCCAAAAAAAAAAAAAAAAAAAAGGAGGTAGTAGGGCATACCCATTCAACAAAGAAGCCTGTGATTGAGATAGTCACAGCGAAGAGTATTCAAGAAGACCAGAATGGCGCATGCTTTTGATAATTTAGCCAAGTTGAAGAGCATCTCATTGAAGACAGATATCCCGCAATGAATCAAAAGTAGTGTAACACAAGTAATTAGGTACCTTCTTCTTTTGTGATGACATGGTGTTGCCAAAGGGGGATTGAATAGGGACTAACGAGACGAGTTGGTGTGTCAATAACAATCGTCAATGGATCTCAGGACAAGTATACCAATGATTTGATGATTGATATACCTAATAAGCCGAGTGGCATCACTTCTTACACCGCAGCAATAAATCGTTATTATAATAAAAAAGAAGAAACGAAAAAGAAAATAATATAATACAATTCACCAAACAAGTCCATCCATTTGTCCAAGTCTCCAAGATGGGTTTGATCCTAGCGTCAGAGATAAGATCGGCCCGTTGAATCCAGTCAGGCAACTGGCCCGCCCATGCCGAGCCAAACCGCCGTTTTTTCCGGCCTCTCGTGTGCACGTTTGTTCTTGTCCCCGTTTCGGTTCGCCTTCTCCCTTGCCCTTCTCACGCCTTTGAAGCCTTCACCTTCTCCCCAGGACTTTCCCTCCCGTTATCCCATCTCTTTCCTCCCACCCCCACTCCCTATAGTCCCTCGTCCATTGTTTGCAAAGATGTTCTCGCTGAGGACGGCGCAGCCCGCCCAGGTATGTGATTTCTTCATGCACGGCCAGAGCCACCGCAATTGGTTTTCTTTGACATTTTCCCTGCTGTTTTTCCCTGGCCACTTTGCTCCCCTCTACCACTCTTAGTACCTCTTCTTTAAATCCCTCGGACTGACTCGATTACGTCTACCAGTCTTTCCTACGTCGCGCTGCGGTCGGCTCTTTTGGCCGTATCTCAATTCCCGCTAGATGTGTGTCGTCCTTTTTCCTTTGCTCTAGTAGTGAGGTGGCCCGCCTTTCGGAGCTCTCGTTAACCTGCAAAAAATAGCCTTCGCAAGTGTTCAGTCGGACATCTTCAAGCCCACCAAATATGGTGGCAAGTACACCGTGACTCTTATTCCAGGTAATTTCCAGCAGTTTTTTTTTTTTTTTCTTTCCCTCTTTTCTTTCCCTCTTTTCTTTTCCTCTTTTCTTTTCCTCTTTTCTTCTCCTCTTTTCTTCTTCACCTTGCCCCTAGCGACCGGATGTGCTAATAGCCTTTTTTTTTCTCGCATGAAAGGTGACGGAATTGGTGCCGAGGTCGCCGAATCAGTGAAGACCATCTTCAAGGCCGACAATGTGCCCATTGAGTGGGAGCAGGTGGATGTCAGTGGTGTTGACACGGGAAACAAGCACTCGGAGGAGCTTTTCAAGGAATCGATCGCCTCCCTCCGACGCAACAAGCTGGGCCTCAAGGGTATCCTCCACACCCCAGTCGAGCGTTCCGGACACCAGTCGTTCAATGTCGCTCTCAGACAAGAACTTGATATCTATGCCTCCATTGTTCTGATCAAGAACATCCCGGGGTATCAGACGCGCCACGAAAATGTCGACCTTTGCATTATCCGTGAGAACACCGAGGGAGAGTACTCTGGCCTTGAACACCAGTCCGTGCAGGGTGTGGTCGAGTCTCTCAAAATCATCACCCGTGCTAAATCTGAGCGTATTGCCAAGTTCGCTTTCAGCTTTGCTCTTGCCAACAACAGGAAGAAGGTCACCTGCATTCACAAGGCAAACATCATGAAGCTTGCCGACGGTCTGTTCCGCAGTACCTTCCACAAGGTTGCAGAGAACTACCCCACTTTGGAGGTCAACGACATGATTGTGGATAATGCTTCCATGCAGGCCGTGTCTCGGCCCCAGCAGTTTGATGTGATGGTCATGCCCAACCTGTACGGTGGCATTCTGTCTAACGTTGGAGCGGCCCTTGTTGGCGGCCCCGGTCTGGTCCCTGGTTGCAACATGGGACGCGATGTTGCTGTTTTCGAACCCGGATGCCGTCACGTTGGTCTCGATATCAAGGGCAAGGACCAGGCCAACCCCAGTGCTATGATCCTTTCCGGCTCCATGCTTCTCCGCCACCTTGGATTGGATGACCATGCCAACAGAATTTCGAAGGCTGTGTACGATGTAATTGGTGAAGGGTATGTTATCTTCAACCTAACGGACACCTTTGCATCCCATTATCTGGAGTTCTTGCTGACAATACCTTATGTAGTCAAACGAGGACTCGTGACATGGGTGGCCAGGCCACCACTCACGAGTTTACCAGAGCTGTTCTGGACAAGATGGAGGCTGCTCTGTAAATTGTGATATAACATCATTGCTACCGCTATCAATAATGACGAAGGTTTGTAAGGGCCAGTAGGGTATTCTTGGGAGGCCATACTGGCTGGCTGGAGATGTCTCCATATCATGTATTATCCTTGACCCAAACAACGCAAGGCATCCTACTGCACATTTGGAACGATAGAATTTCTGTGGAATAGGATGTGTAGAATTATATACTATTGTTTGGAAATAAAACCATATCATTGCATCATAGATAGTCATTATCTTTTAATAGTATGTTTCGTTATGCAACTGCAGGGATAGTTTATTTAAATACCCGAAGATCCGCAACTGCAAGAAACCGCCTTATCAAGCATTCCAGAGCAAAAGTTTTGAATGGCTCTTCCAAACCATTTGTGTATCAATCATCAATCACTCCTTCTTATGCTTGTTCCCGGCTTGGATTTCTCGGTGGCAACCAATCTGAACTTGCAGGGCGAGAAGATAAAGGGCGGCAAACAACTTGCGTCTCTAACGAAGAGCCGAATCTTTGCACCATGGAATGACCCATCCAGACTGAAGCTGCATATAACCAGCAGTGGTATCGACATAATCTTGTTGATGTTCTGCTCTAGGCCCCCAGTTTCTTAGCGGTGGGTCAGTGGATAGAATATCCAATTGCTGTGTAAAACCAAGTGCGAAGACGAGCAGAAAAAGGATCAAAAGGCCGGGCGTCTTTTCCTGCCAGTGTACTTGGAATTGGCCTTTACGATCTTCCCCTTTTTTGACATCTGATCTTTTTTCCTCATGATCCAGGCCTTGTCGCCTTTCTTAGAAGACGGCAACTTGCCATGTTCCATGGCCCTTCTTCTGGCATCCAAAACATCCACATCATTCATGCCACCAACGACACCAGTGATGTCTCCTTGCAACCCGCCACCCCCAACCGTAAGTACAAGGTAAAGTTTGCTGTTCTTGGTCCCAGGGTCATCTTCCAGCATACCGGCACCAAAGCCAGCTTTGATAGCAGCACCGCTTATCATGCTCCGCTGCGCATCATTCTTGGGATAAAACTGACAAACGGCACGTCCACCACGACGAAGACTGGCATAAAGGCCCTCAAAAAATCGGCGCAAACGACCTTCGGGGCTGACATCGCTCGTCTCCGCGTTGCAGAGCCACTGAATTGCACTTATACTTATAGCTGCATCAAACGTACCAGGACGGAACGGCACCCCTTGCCCGATATCGGCAAGCAACAAATCGCCTTCGACTTCTCGCTGCAGAGCCACGTCGAGCATGCTGGGTGAGATGTCCATGCCGACCCAGGTGTGTGGCCCACCTTGCGCGGGAGGCACTTCGGAGAGGAGCTCTCCGGAAAGCCCAGATCCACAACCGACATCAAGAATGAGTGATGGTGATTTGAGATCGAGAAGCTCGAGAGCTCGATGCGTCATATCAGACTGGATGTTACGGATACGAGACGAAGTGGTATATTTTCGCGATTCATTGTCATCATAAAACAAATCTGGAGGCCTATACCGAACAGAGAAAGCAAAGAAGACTCAGTCAGTAATGATCATATAAAAGGCTAGGAAGGTATGTCATGATGGGTTAGAAGAACGCACAAGACATCTTCAGGGCGCGACATGGTTGCGACCAAAAAAAAAAAAAAAAATAGCAATAGCCAAAAGGTTGCGCAGCTCCGCCGTAAAGATTCCAAAGGCGAACAGAAGAAAATCTTCAATCTAGAAATTGACAAAAAATAGTCAACTGTACTATAATAATATAGTTGACACTGAATGGGAGAAGAAATCAAATATCCATCTGCTCAAAGAATAGTAGATCGGGTACATAATAATAAATTTCAAAGCAGATGGCGCATTGGTTGTCTTGAAGTGGGGCCTGGAGCCTGAGGCATTGAACCAAGTAACGCTGCAACCAGCGATGCCATAAGGACAACAGTCAAGATGGTCACGATCTTATCTCCATGATGGTCAGCTTTTTGAAATAGCCAAGCACCAAACCATTATTTACCTAACCATCATATATTAGAAATGAAGCTTACCTGATTTTATTCAATTGCCTACGTCATCTTATTATCAGTCCATTGTCCCTACACTACTATCCCACGAAATCGGTCATCAGACGGACCTGCTGCGGTGAATCACAATGTGGATACTTCCCCTTCTAGGGTACCTGGGTGTGATTGTTGGATTTGCCTTTCTTACTTTAGCAATAGGTAAGAGTGGTCATAGTTACATTGCGAGGCCATCACTTCTCCAAAAGGCATAGTGAAGAAACCCCATCGCGACTGACATATTCCAGCCTCCGGTCTCTACTACCTGTCGGAACTTGTTGAAGAACACACCGTTCTTGCTCGTCGATTGCTGTCGCGCTTGATATACGGCATCATCATAATCCAGATATTCCTCTTTGCGTTCGACCGGTTCCCCTTTTCTCTATCTCTCCTCAGTATTTTGTCGCACCTCGTTTACGCAAGCAATCTACGACGATTTCCCATCGTCAAGCTATCGGATCCTCTTTTCATCCTTTCTTGCATGTTAGTTGGTCTGAACCATTGGCTATGGTTTCGTCACTTTTCCAAGCCGCTGTCGCCGTCGCGTGTTGGAACCAATTGGCGCCAGCCGTATCAAGCCTACCCTGAGGATATGCCAAACTTCACCGAAGTCGCTTCTTATTTCGGGCTTTGTGTCTGGCTTGTTCCGTTTGCCCTCTTTGTTAGCCTCAGCGCTGGCGAGAATGTTTTGCCTAGCATGGGTTCTGAATATGCAACAGGGGAGCATGTTTCTACTCCTGGACTGGCTCGCAGTGCTCTATCCTCTGACGGCAAGGTTAATAAAAATAAAGGAATGGCCAAGGCCTTGGTCGACGGTTTACGAGACTGGGTTAAGGAAAATGGCGAGGTAATGGGGTTTTGGAGGGGTGAACAGACACGAAGATTTTAAATGAATGATTAGAAGCTATTCTGAGACGAAATAGTGATTACATCACTTCAATGTATTGAATACTTTTTTATATCTTCACAGACAGAGAGAGAGAAAATAAATTAAAATAAAATAATCATATAAAAAGGCAGGGAATAATGGAAGAAGACGACAAACACTTATGATAGGATTATGTAGCTATATAACCAAAAGAACTCAAATGACCTCAAGAGTCCATGAAACATCACATATAAAGCCATACGGATAGAAGCATGCATGACGGCCCTTGTGAATAGCAAGAAAAAAATAGGGTATAATAATGATCACAGAACATGTTCCCATCAATGCAATAATGACCAAACAAAGAGAAGGGGGTGGGGGAGGGTCATTTCAAGTAATGCTAGCCATATCATATTTGATAGAAGCCGTGAGCCCTTATAACCTCTTGTTATATTCAGCAACATCCCTCATTCTCTGATTACCATTAATATTATGAATTTCCATCGCTGCTCTCAAACAGGTGTAGCTAGGTTTTTAGATTCATTCCACGTTCGTATAATTCATAATTTATCTTGATCATAGTAGCATGGCCACTTCGCAAGATAGTGACAGGAAAGAGGGGCTAATGGGTATAAAAAAGAAAAAAAAAAGAGAAGATGAAGATGAAGTGCCGTGGGTTTTTTTCCAACATATACCAGCTCAATGTGGCTACCCGGAGGTGTAATTTTCAATTACCGAAGCCTGTTTCTTTTCAGTTAGTGATTTAATAGTCTATAGTAAAAAGACGATGTTGAGTACTGACCATGGTCCTCGCGTGACGTTGGAATGGAGGTATTTTGATAGTTGGCTTCCATGAAAAGAAGAGAGCTCTCTCGCCTCTTTGCCTTGGCAGAGCGGGAATTCTCGAAGTTTGGTGTCAACATTCTGTTCACTGATGGAGAGCTAGGTTGGCTTTGGTTGTAATTTTCTGGAATGTAAGACAATTGCTCATAGCTCGGCTGCATTACGGTGAATCCAGTGTTACTTTGTGTCGGATATTCCTCAGGCACAGTATCAGGGAAATCTTCTTGTCTCCGGAATGTTGTCTGATGAGGACCAGGTGTGGGTATGTCCGAGAACCTTTGATGTCTTGGAGAACGAGCATCTTCTGAGGATACAAATCGATCAGCGGCGACCTCCGTTCCTTCTAGACTATGTCTGGGAGAGACACCGAAAATACTGTCAAAATCGGTGAGGAACATCGAAAATACTGGAGCCGGTATGTTAAGTGTTGGAGCGAAGACAATACCAACGTTTCTGACCGTCATTTTATTGATATCGGAGTTGTTGACAATGACAATCAAAAACTGCGCTAGTGCTCGCAACAGAGCAAGATTCGACTTCGGGAGTCTGTGTACAAGGACATTGAATGCCGCGATTTTCTTATGCCGCTCACCAAGCTCTATAGTAAAATTCTTGTTAATATAGCGCTGGGGGAAAGGCGGGGGGGACTGGACTGGAAACTAGATCAACTTACCAAGCACACGCAGGAATTCTAAATGAAGCTCGCGGGTTAAGACTGTCGAGGGAAGCTCTCGCAGGTACTGTTTGAAAAGAGAGGCCACTGCGTGAACATCATAGTACTGATCTCCAGCGAGGAAGTCAACGTCGCCTTCGGTGTTGAATCGTTCCTTGAGCGCTTTGACGACAACATTTGACCCACTTAGCCGAAATATACCCTCCTCTAATGCTGCTCCCTTGGCTTCAAGATACTCAATGCAGCGATAAACAACAGCTGGTAAGTCGGCGTCTACGCCTTGTGGCGGACAAAAATGCACTGCTTCTGCCAATGGAATTCCAAAGACAGGCCTAACAAAATTTCTGTCAATCGGAGTGCTGCTCTGAGCTTGCGTCATAGAAGCCTCATGGCTGGCCTGGAGTTGCGAAGCAAGATCAAACGATGATCTTGTACGGAAACCCCAGATGCTGCGTTTCTTTTCCTTGGTAGAAGTTGGGTTACTAGCAGCCGCTTTATTGCCCCAAGCCCCTGCATCTTGAATCTTTGCACCGTTTGTGGGTCCTGAAATTACCTTGGAGGGGTGTGATGTGAGGTGTCCAAAATCAGTATTACCTGCAGCCTGATTTGGGTCTGCGGAATCCGTTAAGATTCCTGGCGGTATTTGTGGGGATTTTGGTGGCTGTCTGTCGAAAGATGCCCCAAGAACCGGGGGCTCCGCAGGAACTGCATCGTCAAAACTGAATCCTTGAACGGTTTCAGGCCCATCCAATTCTGGACTCTCAACTCCCTTGCCGTTTCTTTTACTTCCATTAGTAAAAAACCTGGACTTGGGATTGGAACTGGTGGCTTGCTTTCCGGTTGCTTGGGGTTGATTGGCCGAAGGTATGATATTAAAGCCCTCGCTCTCCGAGGAGTGCCCTTCAACATACTCCAGAAGTGCTTCGACCCAAGCATCTCTTTCTTCATCGCTCTCGGCGCATAGGACATGTCGAACGAGAGCGGATGAGTCTTTCTTCTTCGGTTCCAAAATGAGGAACGCATGGCGGTATTGATTATCAGAATCATCCTCGCCACGTGAAGGAGAATTACTCTGAGCATTTGTGTTCTGCGATTGCTTGCCAATCTGAGCACTGTAGAGTTTGATGGTCCCGAGATGAGGACCACCCGGGGACTCAAAGTATTTGAGTTCTGGGCCATGCAGAATAAAATATCTCGCTTTCCACCCGCCAAAATTCTTTCCTCTCTTAGTGAGGTAGCCTTCTTTCCTGGGTTTCCCATCCGGGCCCCGTAGGATTTCAGATTTCACTTGATTATTGCTTTTCAGTAAGCTGGTCTCATCATCTCGGGGTTCAATAGCATCGCAAGTAAGGAACTGGCAAATAATCAAGGCAGCCTTCTCATCCATAGGAGTATCAAGAAGAGCCTCAAAATAACAATTTAGAGCTGCACGTCTTGCATCCACCTTGGCAGGGGAGTGTCCGCTGAACATGGCCTTATCAGGCAACTTTCCCGCAAAAGAGGACAGTTGTCTCATCTGCTGATCTAATTGGGGGAGAGCCGCAATGACTTTTTCCACACGCCAGAGCTCTGAGTTTTCAGACCGCGAAAAGACACTTAATGTAAAGACTGGCTCCTCCTCGGCTGGCCTTGATGCCATGTAACTATTCCTGGAAGGCCGAAGACGTGAAGATGACACTCTCACTTCGATAAAAGGAAGAGCATTCGGAGGCAAAAGCAGATTAGGATGGTCGTCGGATACCAAGCCTTGATAAATACCGCCGTTCGTAATATTTGGTGACCTGGGGCTATCTATTTGGACAGCAGCATCAATGGAAGGAATGGGCTGATTGTCATAGTCAAGGGGGGGGTAAGAGTCAGTTCCTGTTGTAACAGGGTTGCCTGGTCCAAATGGATATTGATGCTTAGCTGCTCGAGGTGTAAGAGCTAATCCCGCAAGGCCATCGCTCGAAGACATGGGCATGGAGGCCAAAGAACTGGGAATTTCTCTGGGCATTCGCGGTAGTGGGGAGCCAATAGGTCGATCTTCAGGTCTTGGACTCATGGGCAGTCCGGGACTTTTGGGAGCGGACAAAACGGTACGATCGCTAAATGGTGTTGCGTTTGTCAAACGAGGGCTCAGTATAGATGCCAGGGATTCAGAACGTTCAACAAGCGGCGGGGATTGTGCAACCGCCTGTCGCGACCTTGACGGTATTCCAGCAGACATCGTATGCCCATCGCCGAAAGAATCGAAAGCACCAGGGGTTTGGAGCGGTTGGGGCTTCTTCTTCTCCGGCACACTGTGAAACTCCTTGTCTTTCCCCAAGGCCGCTTCGCGCTGTCGATCATCGTCATCCCTAGTTTTCCTCCTCCCGCGCTCGATAGACACTTCCTCCACCGCAAGAACATCCTCATATTCAGAGTCTGAATCGTACACGGCGGTGTTTTGTGCGGCTGTACGATGGGGTTGTTTTTCGAGGTTCAAGGGTGCGGGGGGCGCCTTTCGAATTTGATGCAAGGATCTGCTTTGCTTGCCTTCGCCAGATAGGGGATCATTGCCAGTAGACTTGGAACTCGTGAAAGATTTCGGGCTTGCGGCCAATGGATCATGTGTAGTATATGACATCGATTGCGGATTTTCCAAGTCATCCCTAGGGGTTGCCTGTGAGCAATCTTTACGAGGGTCAATAGGTGAATCGTTCTCGGCTGAGTTTTGCGATCCAGCTGCGCTAGGCGTTGATCTAGTCTCGATTCTCAAGGACTTTTCCACCACTCTGGACGAGTGCTGGGGTTTCGGCTGATTCTGCGGCTGAATTTGGTTGGGAGATTCGCGATCATGACGAATATCACTGCTTTCGCCAGCCTGCGGTGGGAAGATTTGGTCATCTACTGAGGGCACCGGTGGCACCGAATTTTGCAATTCTTTCATCTTCTTTTTGTATCGCTCCTTTTCCTTCAACGCACGCTCAAGATCCTTGTTCAAGCCAAGGATGAGTGCCCGCTGCTTATCGACCAGTCTCCAAAGCTGTGAATTCTGAGATGCAGCGTGGTGTTTCTCCTTGAGCAGATGTACAATCACAGACTCGGCGGAGCCCGCAGTAGCTATGAGGTTTGCGATATCAGCCTGACTTAACGCGTTGGCATCGAATGTGGACTTGTGAGGCTGGGATGCCGAGGAAAGGGAAGAAATCGCAGAATCGATGGACGAGGTGCGGGGCATAATGCGAAACCCAGGACGACCCCCAGGCATTGGTTGCGGAGAGCTGGCAGGGGATATTGGGGAGGATGTGGCGGATTGGGTCGACTCGGTCGCATCTGAGAGTTTCCGCGGCTTGTTGTAATTCATTTTGTCGGTCATATTTCTATCATACTGGTTATGGACCCCCACTAAATCCTTGTACGCTGTTTCTGGTGCGCTGGATGAGCTATGGCTAGCAGTGGATAGAGGGGCTGGGAATGTAGCATGGGCTATTCGATTGATTGGTGAGCAATTTTGAGAACGAGAAGTACCAGCAGATGATGTTGATAATACAGGACTCTGGATCAAGCCAGTGCTGTCTCGACTGGGTGACTAGGGTCGCACGCTCGTTTGTAGGGAGATGGTGTAGGCCTGCGGGGATCGGACGCAGCAACAAGAGTCGCGGAACGCAAGGATTGTCCGTCGGGTCGTGTTCATATATAGTCGCGGGGAATGAGACTGCCCGTGGATGATGGGTGCACCAAACTCTTGACTTCTAGCAGCGGCAGAGGAGGAAATGGAAGAAATTGGTAGCGGCTGCTGTTGGTGGTTGTCGTAGTGGTGGTCGTAGCTCACCTGTCGCCGAACCGGCATGGCTCGTTCAGGAGTCGAAGCTCGATCAGCATGGGATGGAAAGACGCGAGCCAGTGATAGGGCACAGACGGGGCTCGACAGTACTAGGGAAACGCGGCAACTTTGGGCGGGTTTAAGCGCCGAAAGCTCAGGGGGTCGAGGCAGAGGATATGTACAGTAATAATATCGGGGGGGAAATTAAACAGAATAATATTGCAGAGTGGTTATATACGGAGTAAATAATTATGTATTCATTTGAATCCCCATGACCAACACAACTGACGACACAGAAGTGTTGGGGGGGGGGGGGGGGGGGGGGGGGAGAGAGAGAGAGAGAGAGGGAGAAACAGAAAAGGAGGTTGGTTTCCTGGTTTCTTTGAATTTGCAGCAGCAAAAAAAAAAGGGGGGGTGGGTAAGGTATTGTTATTCTGTTGATTAGAATAACAAAGTTAGACAAAGAAACCGGGCACTGGAACAGGCAAAAATAAGTCAAGATGCTATCTAATGGAGGTTGCATGTTTGCTTTTCTTTCATTTACTATTATTATTATTATTATTATTATTATTATTATTATTATTACTGCATTTTTTGGAGCTGGAGCTGGCAGGTGCTGAATGCCAGCTATATTATTAGGATAGTTTCTCATCAACTGCAACTAGCAGTTATGTTGTACATGCACGCATTGTACCTATGTAGTACGTACATACATTATACATGAGTCATGACTCTCTGCTGCTGTGGGTCTGGGAATAAACACTAGGCATCCCTTTCAAGATGCATCATTGGTGTGTACTCCGTACAGATCCCAATCCCATAAGGAGTTGTTTCGAAGACGCCCACCTGCCAAAAAAGTTAAATTGACATTTGCTTATCATTTAGTACACTATATACTATACATCTGTGATGCTGACAGGGGTCTTTGAGCCCAAATATCATCCTCCAACACCTAGACATATAAAAGTTGCAGAAAAGAGATGAGATGGGAGGAGATCGGTGGGAGAGTTTACCAAAGGCGGAAACCAACACAAGAGACGGGAATGCACTCATGGTTCTCTCCTGATGGTTTCTTGTCTTTTCTTGATAAGGAGGGGGGCCGATTCGACCTCTAAAACGCCTTTTACCCTATGCATTAACGCCCTCCCCCTTAAAAAAAAAAATTCAAGTATAACGTCAGAGACTTGCATAAAAGTACAAGATTATGCTATGTTTCCAGCCATTCCCATGAAAATGGCCTGAGCAGCCAGCTGGAGTGACCAGAAGCCAACCTTTTTGAAGCGCCGTTTGCGCGCCTGGTCATCAACGACATCCCGCGCAAATGCATCATACACCTACAAATGCATTAGCAAACACTCAATAACTCAAGAGTATAAGGATGCTTACCGCGGCTGAAAGGTCATCCATTAAGCCGCTATCAAAGACCGTCCAGCTGCCATCAAAGTCCTCGACGCGTTTAACGAGGCGACAATTAACAGGAATGAATGTGCGCTTGGAATTTATGTATGCGACAATGGGCCGTATAAGTGCGTTGTTTATGTATGAAAGATCTCGGGTAAAAAGGGGCACAACAGCCCTCACATTGTTGAGATGGAGACGGAGATCTGTTACAAGGAACCGGTTTGTTGAGCCTGCCTCCTCTGGTCGACTTGGATGGTAAGACAAAGGCCCGGGAGTTTGATTCGACGTGACAGTAATTTCCAGTCGATCGTAGAAATCGGCCATCACTTTTGCTAAACTTTCATCGTTATCACTTGGAAACATCATATCGGCAACGATATCGACGGTTCCTTCGTGTATCCACCCAAAAGGACCTTGGACTCCGCGATTGAGATGATCAATATTGAGCCCATCAATCCGTATCCTGCTATGCTTTTTCCAAGGGTTAGGACTGCCGTCCTCCGTTTCATTGCCCAGTTGAGCGGTAGTAAAGCCATGAGATTGGCGTGGATGGATTGTGAACAAAGAATTGTCATAAGATCCAGACATCATGTTTGCCGAAAGAAAGTCGTAAAACAACCACTGTTTACGGAGCTGGGGAAGATCGCAAGAAAATATGCTAACGGGAAACGGCCTGAAGTTATCAGGCTGGTAAACTGTGACAAGTAAATCGTGCATCTTGAATGAGTCAATTTCAAAGTCCCCAGGACTGTGTTCATGGCGGTATGATTTGGGATCCAAATCATCATCAGACCAGTAAACATGCCTGCGATCAACAACTCCGCGTATTCCTTGGACTTCAACATCACGGAGGAGCCCTTTGCCGTTGATCCACTTTGTAAATGATAATGTAACGTTAACAGTATCAATTGACACGTCAAATTGCGTATAGTTTGTGTCCTCCTCCTCGGAAACCTGTCGCTGATCTGATAAATCCAAACCCGTTTGGTCTTTGAGGGCTGCAGCTGCAGCTGCAGCTGCAGCGGTCTTCGAGGAGCCTTTGCTCACATGTCCTGTCCCCTGACCGGGTCGCCTTGAGACAAAGACATTCTTAAAGGTGATGACTCCGCCTTTCCACTTGGGCACAATTGCAGATTCAAAAACAACTTTTACACCAGAGGACTTGGTCAGGTAATTGCCCACCCATCCGGCCAAGGTTTCTATAAAAAAAAAACATTAGTGATCCAATGAACTTGTTATAATTCGCGGTTGTTTCATCATACCTTGGGCGAAAACAGTATTGATAGCAAGTATTAGTAAAGAAAAGAAAGTCGTGGTTCCCAAGACAACCCATATTACGTGTCCCAGAAGAACCCAAGAAAAGAGTGCACTTATCTCATCCAGAGTAAATGGCCTTACGCTTCGGATTGAGAACCATTTGAACCGTACTTTAAGCCGAGACCAAAAGCCAGTTGCTGCAGCCAACAACTCTTCTTTTGTGGGCCGATGGAACTGTGACATATGCGGCAAACGATCGATTAAGTGGCGATTAAAAGCACCAGACTGGTTCTCTTCGCGTACCGCCTTCTCTGTACTGGGATCTTGTGGTTGCGTGTTGTTTCCTAATTTCTCTGAGCTCTGGGATGCAGTGGTGCCGTTATCAGCTTTTAGGGACTCTTTAGGTATCTCATTATGTGGCCGGTCCTCCTTGGTCGTATGTAAGCTTCGCTTCCATACATTCCGTGTAAAAAGCCTTCTATCGACATTATAACTCCTATTGGATAGAATCTTCTCGGGACCGATAGCGCATGTTGTTCCAGTTTCTACCGCAGTCGAACTGGGAGATATTCCGAGTACAAGAAAACTTCCAGAGGCGAACCTTTTAGTGATCTGAGTTGATTTTCGACGAGGCAAGGATGGAAATCTTCTCGTGGGCCTTTTGAAAATGAAATCGCAGAAATTGTATGAGTTTGCTGTATCATAAAATAATGGTATTCGATTCGTTCTCATTCCCCGTCCAAATAGTGGATTTGCCGTTTCCCAAAAGTTGGTGTACAGCTTGCGTCCGAGATTGCCAGGCATGATTGCCGTCACATCATGGGAAACCTATTCAAATAGCCAAATGAAAAACGGAATGTTTCACAAGACCATGTTGAAAAAGTGTTGAACTATGAAGGTTCCAAAAACATGTGTATGGGAAACTCCACTTCTATGTTAGATCAAGAGGCGTGTGAGCTCCAAGCAAACAATGACGAAGCGTTTGGCTGCTGGAAGTAGAATAAATTTCCATGAAATCATGATTCCGCCTGTCGGCGACCGGAGGGTTGTTTGTCCCGTTTGCAACAAAATTTGATAATTCCACACCCACATTTTTCCCACCTTCAACTGATAAAATTTGCGATAACTGATTTCATTTCAGCCACCCGTATTCATATATTGTTGGGTCATTATTCTTTCCCTCTCTTCCTTTCTCTATTGAAAATATACGGAAAATGCCTGCCCCCACGGCACTCCTCAAACAGCCAGATGAAATAACAGCAGCACAGGTGCCCGTAGCTGCAGTCCCCACATCCAGTTCGTTCTATTCCTTTTTTTTTTTTTTTTTTTTCTTCAGGAGTAATGACCTTGACTAACGGTCCGTAGACCAAGACGATGAAGTGTTGATCGATGCTCAGGCTTCGACAGAGGGGAATGCTTCAGATTTAGCACCCGTGCAATCCGCTCAAGACGACGAGATGCGCATCGATGAAGAGGGTCGCCCAGTCTTTACACCAGCTAAAGATATCAACGTTGTCTACCGAGTTGAGACGCGAAAAGTGCCAGTCCCGCCGCATCGCATGACCCCGCTTAAGGCAAATTGGCCCAAGATTTACCCTCCTCTCGTTGAGCATCTGAAGTTACAAGTGCGAATGAATGTCAAAAACCGAGCTGTCGAACTACGTACATCGAAATTCACCACGGATACCGGAGCTCTGCAGAAGGGCGAAGATTTTGTCAAGGCTTTCACACTTGGCTTTGATTGCGATGATGCCATTGCACTCCTCCGGCTGGATGATTTGTATATATCTAGTTTTGAGATCAAAGACGTGAAGACGCTCAACGGCGAGCACCTTGGTCGCGCAATCGGGCGAATTGCAGGGAAGGACGGAAAAACCAAATTCGCAATCGAGAATGCAAGTCGGACTAGAGTTGTTCTTGCGGACCAGAAAATCCATATTCTCGGCGGTTTTAAGAATATCCACATTGCCCGCGAGGCTATCGTGAGTTTAATCCTGGGTAGTCCTCCGGTAAGTCATGGGTCCTCCATTATATCACGAATATATGCTAATTCATAACAGGGCAAGGTTTATGGTAACCTGCGCACGGTGGCATCTCGTATGAAAGAGCGATTTTGATACCTCAGGATTCGGATGTTTTGTTGTATTTGCAGCATAATACTGGCGTTAAGGTTTTGGGTGATACGGGTTGAGTAAAATATTATTGATATGATGATCAAAGACGAATAGATTTTCAGTACAGTCTTGTCACGATTCCTAAGGCATGCATTAAATCAAATTTATGGCCACTAGCACTGCCCTCTCGCTTGCTCTCGCTTTAGTCCTTCTTCAAGGGAATGTAGATATCCTCTATCCCACTCTTGGTAATGACCATCATCTGCAAGCCATCACCAACTTCAATGTGTCTTTCCACGGCACTGGTGAATGCATCTCGCACGAGTTGCTCGACCGTTTCCCTTGGCAAAGGCTCCGCCTTCTTTGGTTCAAGGGCATGTCCTTCACCACTCCCAGGGATGTACTGGTTTTTGAAGTTGACTTGGTTGTCAAGGAATGGCATGATCAGGCTCGCTGCAGAGCCAGCTGCTCTGCATTGCTCTCTTTCATATGAGCCGACCGGATCGTAACTGTATAGCGCTCCTTTGCCTTCGCTATCCAAACCTGCTAGAATGGCAGTCACATAGTAGGGAAAAAACCGTTTTTGGTAAAGTATCGTAGACAGTCGCTGTGCACATGCCGTGACAGACATGGGTTTTCCATGCTGGTATTTGTACATCTTTACCACTGCATCTAGTCGTTCTTTAAGTGCTTGGCCGTCTGCAGCGTATCCGACAACAGACAGCAGAATATGGGCACCATCACCCGTCTCATCAACCCCTCCAATCTTGAAGACTTTTGGAACGTAGCGAGAGTTGATATTGTAGCCCGCCACAGAACGAGTATCGCCAGCGAGGATTGCGAAGTCGGAGCCTGTAACGCCCAGAGTTGAGCCTCCATTGTCGGTGTATCTGGTGGTTGAATATTAGTTATAATACTAAACAACGTAGAGAGCTTCCCAAGAATGCTTGCACTTACGGGTAAAATGAATGTTCTTTGACTGCAGCACCAGTTGGCTGAGAGAAGGAATATCCAACGGCCTCAGCGTGAGGCTGGCCCATCAGCGACGTCATTTTCTGCGAGAAATTCTGACTTGGAGATATGCTAAATTTATTCAAAGTTGAGATATTTTTGAGCGCTAAGAATTAGTGTGTTCTTCGGGATTGTGTAAGTTCTTCTTGTGGAGAGATATCGTGAAGTTTAGGTCCTTGATGAGGTACCTGCTCTGACGCGATCCAGCTGCCTTCTGCTTATATAATCTGTCCTGCAGCTCCCGCCACAATTTCAAGGTTGTGGCTGTTAACTTGTATGTTCGACAAGTAAAATATATTAATACTAACCCCATAATTTGGCATTCAGAATTCATATCCTAAACAAGGTAGTTATTGTTTTCGGGTTTAACCTTTTTCATTGTATATGGGCTGACTTAATGATAGCCAGGAGCACCTGAATAAAATCTAGGGCTATCCTCACAGGTGTACGTACCTATCACAAGTCCATATACCAGTGTGAACCAGTTACATGGTACTCTTTGGCATTGTGAACTATGCTTGGTCTTGGAGCATATGAAAGTAGCAGTGAAGATGAGGCAGGACCTCCCACCTCTTTACTGGTTCCAGAGGTACTTTTTTTTTGCCAAGTTCTTATTGTACGATAGTCAGCTGAACCATCTTCCAGCACAAGAAGAAAGAGCAGCCAGTTGAAATTTTGCAGGCCAAGGATAATTACAGTAAGTCTTTATGATCTCACATGGCTTAGTTGATCCGTTTCTCATGTTCAAATCAGTTCAAGCAGGGACACATCAAAACAAAATTTCCCAAAAAACGACTTCCAATGCCGAACCCGCTGGGCCTGTTCTAGGGCCTTCAGACATCCAAATGGCGCAGCCATCAGCTGATCCCTCACCAACCGGGCAGTCCTCTCCGTTTTTAGCATCTCGGACACTTATACATGATTTAACACTTCCTCCGGTGCCGAATTTGGACATACCGCCGTCGCCGCCTGGTTCTCCCGAGCCCATGGCGAATGCGAAATTCACACATTTCCTATCATTAAAGAAGCAAGGTATCCATTTTAACGAAAAGTTGGCTGGATCAACCTCCCTTAAAAATCCCAGTCTGCTAAAAAAGCTGATGGATCATGCTGGGATTGATGGTCAAGCACAATACCATACATCACTTCCCATTGGTGTATGGGATACTGCTAATTTACCGCAATGGGGGTTCAAGGAAGCACTTTTGAAGTCACAACAAGAAATCCGTCAACAAACAGAAGATAAACGGCTTGCAGGTCACAGAGGCTCGATTGAGTTTGTTACTAGCACAGCTGGCAGGCCCAATCAAAGTTGAAGTGATAGAATTTACTGTAAAGTCCATGCAAAGTTCAAGCCCCCCTAGAGGGAACCAGCTTGCCCTTGGGTACTTACTGCATATATGCTGTCCGAAGTACAAAGTTGATAGAGTCGGCGAGATCTTTTTTATCGAGCGCCCCCTTTATTCCCTTTCATTCCATTCTGATTTACCTCGCTCAAAGAATATTGCAATTAGATGATCCAGGGCGGCTAAACATGTTGTGATAAGATATTATGGTGTCAAATTTTGGGTTACAGTTAGTGAGAAATGCTAGTCAGATAATACCATTTTAGGTTCAGGGGAATATATGCAATTTAACACATATAATGATAAAGGTTAATAATGATTTATTGTATTGAAACCCAATAGTTATGTCATACCTACCTATATAGTTAATTGGGGTCTCCGCGCTAGACGCGTGTATAGGTTCCATAGGCGCGGGACTTCGCCGCCAGATACCATTGCTAACGTAACAAGAGCTCTGTCAGCTCTACTGCCCAAGGTACACTAGTTGGAGCTGTGTCCGCATCATCACAACCTACATACCTTCCACCTTTTTATCATTGAAATCTATATTCTCATTGTGTCTCCTTTTCTCTGTGTCGACTTTTTTCCCTCAGTGTTCCACTCTTCGGTACATTCTCACTAGCCATACCTTGATAATGAACCACTTCCCTGAACTTTGGGGACGTGTAAGGCACCCACCATAACCCTAGGCCTCGTTGGTCATCTAACATGCTTCAAGCCCAGGGACGATATCTACGGCCCTTATAACCCGGCATATCTTCAGACCTCTGGTCCTAAAACTCACACTCAGTCACCTGCTGTGACCGGAACGTCTGTCATAGCGGTAAAGTTCAACGGAGGAGTCGCGATTGCGGCTGATAACCTGGGTATGTTTGATATCTTGCTTCGCCGTCCAGCTTTTGGAAGCTTAATATTCTGACACGTGGATGATCTTTTGGTAGCCTCATATGGATCGCTTTCTCGCTTTACCGACGTTAAACGGCTCCGCGTTTTTGGTGATGCCGCGGTGATCGGGTTTGGTGGCGATGTGTCTGATATGCAGTACATTGACCGACTGTTGGAATCCATGGATATCAGAGAAAATTACTCGACCCACGGGAACATGCTCAACGCAAAGAACCTCCACACCTACTTATCCAAGGTTTTCTACAAGCGCCGTTCTGAGTTCAATCCGCTTTGGAACCACATTCTTGTTGCGGGGTTTGATGGAGATGAGAAGCCTTTCTTGAGCTCTGCAGACCTTCTTGGAACAACTTTCTCGGCACCGCATCTGGCCACTGGCTTCGGTGCCCACCTTGCTGTTCCAATTCTCCGTCGACTGTTCCCTGAAGAGAAGCCTATCGAGGAAATCAACAAAGACCAAGCAGTTGCTGCTCTTAAAGAATGTCTTAAAGTTTTGTGGTATAGAGACGCTCGGAGTCTCGACAAGTATTCGATAGCGGTGATCACTAAAGAAGGTGTCGAGTTGAAGGAGAACGAGCAGATTGAAGCTCAAAGCTGGGCATTCGCTGAAGCCATCAGGGGATACGGAGCTCAGGTCAACTAGGCCTTTTTTTGTTCATTCGATAATATGCAAGAATTTGATTGATAGGAAAGATGTTACGAGCCCAGAATTAATATGAACCATTGCCCTGAAGTACAACAGAGCACCCAGTGGTGTTTCTACACAAACAAGTGGTATTTGCATAACAGAATTTTGGACTAATGGCGAATGGGTAAGTTGAGTCCATCGGCTCTTTCTATCTCTAGAGCTTGGAAGATGACTTGTCAAATACAACCCTGTTGGCACACGATCCCACGCCCTCAAGAGAAACCTCAATCAAGTCACCATCCTTGAGCCAAAGCGCAGGCTTTCGGCCCATACCAACGCCTTGGGGACTACAGTATGTGTCAGCTTGTTGAATTCTGTCTGAGTTGACGGCGCCCGCGCGAGAGGGGTTATAAACCTACGTTCCAGTGAAGATCAAGTCGCCGGGCAACAAGGTGGTTCCCTGGGACAGAAACGCCACCGTTTTGGCGACACCAAAGATCATGTCCTTTGTGGAAGAAGACTGAACAGTCTTGCCATTCAGTCTTGTCGAGATTTCCAAAGCATTCGGCTCAGAAATCAATTTTGATGACACGATACCGGGTCCGAAAGGTGCCCAACCATCGAAACTCTTTCCCAGACCCCATTGCCCCCCACCACGCTTGATCTGCCAATCCCGGTGAGATACATCATCACCTACTGCATACCCAAGCACGTAATCCAGAGCCCGGGTTTCCGGGACATCTCTTGCTTCCTTGCCGATTACTATAACCAGCTCACACTCGTAATCCAGCCCCTCGCTTTCTTGGGCCACGGGGGGAACGGGAATGTCGTCAGTAGGTCCCGAGATAGACGTGATGGGTTTGTAAAAAAGCACTGGGTACTTTGGCGTTGGAAGGTTGGATTCTTTCGCATGTTGTTCATAGTTTAATCCTAAGCCGCGGACGGTCCCAATATCTTCTCTCGCCAAAGGCGCAAGAAGCATCTTCACCTCAGCAACCCGGTCTGTGACTTGATGCTGGCCAAATATATCTCCCTGAATCACCAGGGCCTTGGTAGTTTTGGAAATGTCGCTGACCCCGGCAGGGAGGATGGCATCACCGTAGTAGATTTGGCCATCTTTGGCAAGGAAACGGACGAGTCGCTTCAAAGGCAGTGGTGGGTTTCAGTAATGGGATGTATTAGAGTACTAATAAGGCAATTGAAATCAAGGGCTAGATTTTCTGTTTGAACAGGAAAGGGGGTGAGGAGAGAAGGGTTGTATGGAATATAACAGAACCAGTGGTTTAGGTAGGAATATATAGTTTTGTCCAGTCAAACCAGGAAGAAAACTTACGGAAAATGTAGCCATGCTTATCTTGGAAAATACCCACGGTGATCAATAATAACGATGAAAAATGCAATATGACCTGAGGGCAAGTGTAGACAGGCAGATAATTTATAATGATTTACTACTCATCTTTCGTTCCCCGATGACTCGGGGAGATGAAGCTCCTCGGTTCATCCACTCGGCCGGAAGACGACCCTCCCCCAGACCGGCGGAAGGCGGAGCTCAAAAAAACTCCAGAGCATTCCGAGAAGAAAAAGCCAAGGAGCTGGGCTACCGACGACATACCACTCCTACCACGTCTGACGTCGACTTTTCTACCCACGGGGGAGATAAACATATTCTTTTCAGGTTGACATTCAATCTGCACCGCAGACAGGCACCGATGGCCCGGCTGTCAGGCCTTCAAAGGGAGGTCTTGTCTCTCTACCGGAAATGCTTACGGGAAACTCGGAGAAAGCCAATGGTGACCCCTCTTCCCAACACAAACTTCTCAGCGCGGTGAAGGCTTGCTAATACCTGCTTGGAAATTTAGGAAACTAGAGATAACTTCAAAACCTATGCCAGGTTTGTCCCCACCATGGGAGCAAGCTATCCTTGGCCGCTGTACTAAATTAATGGACTCGACAGGGCCGAGTTCCAAAAGTCCCTTACTGTCAGCAAAAAAGATTTCAACGCGATAGAATATCTGTTGCGCAAAGGTTACCGACAGCTTGAAATGTACTCCTCGCCCAGAATCCGCAACATTCACTAATAGTGTTGGAACTTGGGTCGCGCATCTATTTAAAAAAATAACCATGAGAACTGCGATTCTACTTACCGTCACATGAAGAAGGCCAAACAAATGTGCTAGAAAACCCACCACTCAGGAAGATCCCCGATGATTCATGCGTCATAATCACGTGACTCCAATCTTGAAGGTTGTGGAAGTTTCCTGCGGAATCTCGTGCTCTCCGTCTTATCTTATCTGGAGCATCGAAAGCCCTAGAGTCATCTCCAAAGATCCCCAAACATCTCCAAACATCTGGTAGGTGACAGAGCAGTCGGTTGCTTATAGAACCGTGTTGACAAATGGAGATACCAGTGTCTTCTAAAATAGATCTTGTTGAATATAAATTGCTGAATTCCAGCACGTTTCTACTTTATGCTAAATCAACTCACATACCAATCTATGATAATAACATATCTTTATCAAAATTACCAAGATCGCCTAACCTCTTTCCAACCTTTTCATCTATCCGATCCTTTCTAGGATAAATCGAAATATGGCTTTTTTACCTCGCCTTGGTGGCGATTTCACCCCTCTATTCCACCTGTTGGATGACTATGATGCCCACCGTTCTACTTGCCCTAAGAGCCAACTCCGCGCTGTCCGCTCTTTCGTCCCAAAATTCGATGTTCGAGAACTAGACCATGAGTATCACCTCGATGGTGAACTCCCTGGTGTCGATCAAAATGATATCGAAATCGAGTTCACCGACCCTAGTACACTTGTCATCAAGGGTCGCGCGGAAAGAAACTACGGTAACACAAACTCAGACGTGATCGATAAGCAAAGCGAAGAGACATTCGATGATGCGCCTCGTACAAAGCCTCACCAACCCACTGTCGAGGATGCTGACGAATCAGTCACTACCACGCCTGCGAGTACTCCAGTCGAGTCGTCTAATAAGCCGGTCGCTAAGACTTCTAGCCCCGCGTACAAATATTGGGTCTCGGAGCGTTCAATTGGCGAATTCCATCGAACCTTTGCTTTCCCAACAAGAATAGATCAGGATTTGGTCAAGGCCAGCCTCAGAAATGGAATTCTCTCCGTTGTGGTTCCCAAGGAGCCAGCCCCGAAACTTAAGAAAATTAGGGTTGAGTAAGACTCGACGTTGCGTTCGAAGGATAAAGGATTCGTTTCCTGATCGATCAATTTTTATCGAAATGATGATTTGACAACACGCAAGTCGGATTGTTGGGAGGGTGTTCTTTTTTTCTTTTTCTCTTTTCCTTGAAACACATCATGTTTGTTTTGGGACAATGTGTTTTCTTTTCTTTGTGTGGATTATCTTTTGATGACATGTACTTTAATAGTGAGCTAATGACATAATATTCTTCTTTGATTATCATATTCTGTATAGCAGTCTATTTGCAATCAGCATTGGGCTGCAGACATTGCATGAGAACTTCAAGGCTGGGCCTTTTGATCAGGCCCCAGCCACAAGATGAAGACAGTAAAGCATCCATATCGAATTAGTCTTTTGTCTGGTATAATAGTAAGTGCATGGTACATGCATGTATGGTCAACCAGCGCGGGATATGATTTTGAATTCAGGCATTGATGCACCGACATATTCAGTATTCAGGAGGGGAACATTTTGTATCCCTTACCTCGCCACATGAAATAGTCAAAATTCTGCAAATAATCGCATGCATGTTGGCCTAGTATCCAACGCCTTAGCAATCGTTGAAATGTCTCTGTACACCGTACTCTAGACTGGAAACAAGGTCGTAAGATGTGCTAGCCGCATACTGTGATGCTAGGATTATATATAATCACGTCACAACAACGGAGTAAGTGATGACAAGATGTATACCGGCAAGTGCTAGACAGAGATCACAAAGTTGGCCACGTGCAGATTCGTACCACCTACCAAGCATTATGTTGTTCCATCTCAGGAAATGCATGCTTACTATTCGGATGAATTAACTGCAGTCACCGACAAAGGGTTGTTCAGCAACAAAACTCCTGCACAGGCGGACGGGGGAGACTAGGCTGATATGATGTCGCTGGATGGGACAATTGGCTGACAACCTGGCACGCCATATAACTTCTGTCCCTGCACAGGGGGGGCACTCGGGGATTGTTGGTGCAACACCAAGAATATGAGAAACCTTAAGATAGCTCCTGCTTTTTGATACATCAATTTGACGTGTAGACCGAGGGCCGCCGAAGATCCATCATGACTTGCCCGGTTAGGCAAATTCACCTCATACGATGAGATGAGCCTTTTGGCGCTGTGTTTCACCGCTAGATTAAGTTCTTGTTGGTTTGAATTGATTGTTCTTTGGTTGTATGTACCTCATTAACATCTTATCCTCACGTGTTTAAAACATATGGAACCATTATTTAATAGCCGTTATCGGGTGTGGTATAAATCGACATCATCGTTGTTTTCGTACGCACCGAGTGTTGGATCAGGTAAATCAAACTCCAACTAGAGCAAAAGACTGTAGCCCCAACTGGCAATGCCATCAAACGACCCAAAAA